ATGATAACATTTGAAAAAAAAATAGTTAAATATAAATAGTTTCTGAAAAAAACTGTTATATAGAAATACCAGAAATTGTATCTAGGTCATAGTCCACATAGGTTTTGTTTCCCTGCAAACAACACTATATGTACAGATGCTCAGAGACTAAATGAAATAAAGCTATTTCTAGGATGGTGTGGATGCACCCTGAAGACAGTTCTCACTTAAATTGAAGGAAAATCTTCGATTTTTCTCGGTTGTTAGTTCTGGAAAATGTCTTCGAATCTCTTGACCTTTGGAGGATTTCCATTCTAAGTTACGAATGAAGTCTTCCAGGATCTTGAGTTCGTAAGATCTAATATAGAATGATAACATTTGAAAAAAAAATAGTTAAATATAAATCGTTTCTGAAAAAAAACTGTTATATAGAAATATCAGAAATTTTATCTAGGTCATAGTCCTCATAGGTTTTGTTTCCCTGCAAACAACACTATATGTACAGATGCTCAGAAACTAAATGAAATAAATCATTTATGTTCTGATATATCTATCTAACTCGATACGAAATTCTAACTGGCTTTATTTACAACTTGTTTTGGAACGGACGTCCAATCCCATTTCCGTCGATCTTTTTACTTAGTCGGAGCTCATACAAAACTAATTTCATTATACCTAAGTCAACAGAATTGATTAAAAACGTTATCCCAATCAAATAATAAATTAACGAAATTCCACTCAACTTGCCCTAGGCCACGAATATCGCAATAAAGTTAGCTCTTTTTTTTCATCTCTTTCCACTGTAGAATTTTCATTTTCATGCATTTTTATTTTCCGAAATCCAATAATGACCGCAGGCTCAAATAAAAATATTACGAAATTCAATATGAAATACGCGGTCTGTATTTGTATATTTTTAGAAATGTTTAGCAAGGATCAATGTTTGAATCGAATAATTTGTCTGCATATGCCTGCAATTAAATATTGTTTTATTGTTTCAATAATAATTATACTTTATTCCATAACGTTTGTTGTCCACAAATGGTTGTTGTGAGGAAGTCACAAAATCTGCATTCGCCGTTGGTTCTTAATGCCGGGGCCAGACCAAGGTGACAAAAAATAAACACGATTTTGAGACAAAAACAAGCCAAACTTGTCACAAAAAATGGAGACTTCTGACAAGACAAACTTGAGACAAATTGTCCACACCGCAATAACAAAAGTACAAAAAAGTCAAAAGTTTAGTTATTGCAAATGGGTTTTAATAACCGTGTGAATTCACTGGTCTCCGACTGTTGGCAGCACACGCCATCCACACTGCGCCGACAACTTGTCGCAAAATATACAAACAAAACATAGACACTTTGATCTTTACCGAATCGAGACGGGACATTTTTTTTCCATAACAAGCGACCGTCCTCTGCCGGAAACACTGCGACCTGTGAGACCTATTGTGTTTGTCCCCTTTCTATATCTGCACCCATTCTCCTATCCCTGTGCCCTGCACTAGCTTATGCAGGTCCTTGATAGGATGGGAGCATAGTTCCTCCGGTTCTAGCCTAGCTTTCCCAAATAAAAAGTATCGCTTGCGATCCAGAGCCTCGCAATGACATATTATTATATGTGCCCCGCTTTTTCAGGATCTTTATCGCAGAGTCTGCAGTAAAGACTTCCTTGATACAGGTTGAGCTTATTCAGGTAACTCTTGACAGTCATGTGTCCTGTCAAGAGGCCTGTTGTAATCCGCACTTTATTCCTGCTACATTAGCAGTTATTTTGCGGTTATAGAGCTAGGTCCTTGGATAAAAGCCTTGCTGTGCCTGTACCCCTGTCTGTTTCTCCAATGAACATTGTGCTTTTTGCTGATCCAGAGTTTTAGTGCACTACGGGCCATACATTTGGGTATTCCAAGTACTGGCTCTGGACCAAGATAGGATACCGATGATCCCTGCCTAGCTAGCTCATCGGCTTTTTCGTTGCCTTGGATGCCGCTGTGGCCCGGCACCCAAGCACCATAATTTAATTCTGTTCCTTCGTGCCAGAGCTCCCAGTTCACCCAGGCATTCCCAGACGAGTCTCGACGATACCTCATGAGCTCATAAGCACCCCAAGTGCCGCCTGACTGCGTCTGAGCATATATTGATGAGCTTACCTAAATAAACTCTTCTATTGAGACGGGACATTGAAAAGTCTCCGAATTTTGGTTTGTAAGTATGAATGTTTCTGTCTTGTCACTGTTTGGTCTGGACCCGGCATTAGCTTCACCCTTAATGAGGTTTCATTGAGGATAGAGTCCTGTTAAAAATCCCGTAAAAATCCGAAGATTGTTCTTACTTAAACAGAGAAAATTATTGATTTTACTCGGTCGTAAGTCCTGAGAAATTTCTTTGAGTGGCTTAGACAGTTGGATGATTTCCATTTCACATTACGAATGAAGTCTTCCAGGTTCTCGAGTTGTGATATAAGTTGGTTTCCACTTGGGAGGCAGAACGATTCTGGTACAGTTAGTGGAGTTTTCGCTCCATTCCTCAGATCAGTTCGTTTACTTTTTCATTACCTTATCACTAGGTGGGCTGGCACCGAGAGTAGGACGACTTTTCTCCTAATTTCAGCTTCTCTATTTTCCCTCTTTTTGTAGTTATTTTATTAATAGATATTTAACAATTTGGATGTAGAAATTAAATGAATGAAGTTTTTTGGTTTCAAAAAATCTTGAAACACCTGAACTATTTTTTAATGCATTTATATCATTTTAAATAAAAAAATTTTTGAAAAAAAAAGCTTTTAAAATTTCTACTTTATTTTACCTTGCATTATTCTTTGCATACCAAAAATGCAATATTGGTATAATGATTAATTAAGGAAATATTCTTAAAAACATAACACTTTTTGTGAGTAAAATCGCACATCCCACAAATTTAAATCTTCTAAAATATGTTCTATGTTGTTCAAATCTAGGAAGTTATAAGTAACTGTACTAAATATAAATATAATATTTCTACGTCTATACCCAATTTAAAATGAAACTACTATTGTAAAGCTAGTATACGAAGAATCTCTACGTGGTATTTTCACATTCTCAAATATATTTTTCCGAGTTTATACATATCAAACTTATTCAATACGCACAAATTCCTCACTATATGTCTCAAAAAGCTTTTGATTTTTTATACTATAATGTCAGTAGCTTCCTATGAAACTTTTCACGCATTTTACCTTTACCCAAGTCTCTTTCTTATCATCTCCAGTTAGCTTGTTATTTTTTTATATACCTTCGTCTTTATCCAACTTTTGGATTGAATAAAAGTCTGAAGAAAAAATTGCTTCTGCCCATTGGCTCGTAAATAAAATAAATTCCCAATCGCTCATATCTATATGTAGGATGAAAAAAATCATCGATATATGAAAAAATCGTGTTTCGTACGTACTGTGTAGAAATTGCCTAACCTAACACCTAGTTAATGTAAATATATTTTATTAATATTTTAAGAAGCAGTTGGGATAAATATGAATAATAATCGATGGCATTTTCAAACAAATTTGTTGAAAGAAATTCTAACGAATTCAATAGTAAGTTAGCACCGTCACGTAAATTCTAGCATTCTGTAATTCTTCTTGGCACGCTCCTTCTGGGCAGTAACTCTTCTTGGCAATTCTCCCAGACTAATGTTGCCTCATTACGTAGACGTTGCATATCCAGTATAAGATGTAGTAAGTAACTCAGCCTTCTACCTATCAAATCCCAGACGTGTTCAATAGGAGATAAGTCTGACTTTTCGGACTACAGAAGAAGTTTCTAGTATCTGGTATCTGTAGTAATATGTGGTCTGGCATTAACTTGCTGGAAAATTGGATCTTGCAGTTGCTGAAGATAGGGCAACAGGACATTGATACAGAATTAAATGTTCATGTTTGTAAATAGACTATGATAAAAATTGTTTACTACACTTCAATCAACCGACAAACATTATAAATATTGCTAACCATATACTGGTGTTGTAATTTCTATGTTACACAGTATTAGTAATGGGAAAAACCGATGAATTTTAATAATCGAGTACTCGAGTTTCAAGCGATTTCAATAATCGAGCGATCACTCGAGCGATATTTCCCTCGTATTTAGATATACGGTTTTTCGTCGTCGTCGTCGCCGTGCCGTCGCCGTCGCCGTCGCCGTCGCTTGCACTTGTACTCGTAACCCAAGCAGTAAGCTGCGTGCGCAGAGCGCATATTCTTTCAATGATAGTGGCAAGCGACAAACAAGTGGAAAGCGACGAGTAGTTTCGCTTGATCATGCATCGAAGCTTTGTCGATGTAGGTGGTAAAATTTTGTAAAATGCGGTCCCAATCAAAAGAACAATCTGTTGTTTGAAGATATTTTACCAAAAATACTGATAAAATATTGCCAATCTGCAATGTATGTAGCAAATTCGCTCGATAGGATCGCTTGCGTTCGTCGCTCGTTCATAATCGAGCGATGTCGGTTATTTCAATAATCGAGTACTCGAGCAAATTTTCGCTCGAGTTATCCCATCATTACACAGTATATGTCTGTCTCAATAGACAAAGAACAAAATAATGTATTTTAAAAACAATATCTAATATAAAACATAAAACACTAATAATATGTCTGTCTCAGTATATTATAACATATGAAAAATTTACTATTGTTGTTGATATTAAACATTCTGTGCAGTTGTCGATTGAAATAGAACACATCGAATAAAAACGGCGTCAGCGATGGCTATGAAATGAAGATCGCTGTCATTTTATATGTAAAATTATACGGGAAATGTCATCGATTGTCATTTCTAAGCTATCTGGACGCCGTTTTTTTCGGTGACACGGTATATTAGAAATTTATCTTAAAATGTTATTTAAATTATTATGAATACATTTTATGAACATATCTAACGCTCCAATGAGCTATTACTATTTATCATATTTCGCTCTTATTTATGTGTTATATCTGGTTATAAGTATTTTAGAGCTTTTAATTTTATTATTGTTTTTTTTTACAGGTGTCTAAAGTAAAGGTTCAGGAGTGTACAGTCTACAGGAACTGCATGGAATGTTTAGGAGTAAAAGATCCTTATTGTGGATGGTGTTCCTTAGAGAATAAGTAAGTCTGCTAATAAATGTTCAAACAGAATAGAAGCTACAATAATTTATTATTAACCCCGAAATTTTTCTTTTTGCCATCTTTACATTAACGTTTCTTTGTAAAGTTTCGGAAAAGAAAGCAACTCTTGCTCTTGTACTATGCTTTTATTGATTTACCAGATTGAATATATTTTGCTGAAAGACAAAATGAATAATGTAAAATCGGGGCACATTTTCAATGAGTTAGATCAATGAATTTATTTTTAAATTTAATCCAAAATCGGAAGGTATTACAATACGTTTACGATAAATATACTTTGAAGTGTCTAATTATAGACTGAAAATGGAATGTTTCTCATTGATAAAAGGATAACTTGGGAACAGCTGAATTGATTTAGCTAATTTTAGTTTTAATTTGTTTTTTTTTTATTTTTGAATAATACAAATACAGTCTTAAATAATATCTATATCTTTGTGGAGAATTCAAAGACGCTCAGCAGGCTGATGCGCCTTATACAAAATCCTTCTTCTTCTTCATTTCTTCAAATATGTCTTCTGGGTATGTATTTTTTTATGCTGTAGTAAAATGTTAAAAAGGAAATCATGCCATATTTAACCATTTACAGTTTACAGGTTAATATAATAAGGTGTTATTCAATTGAAAATTGCGGCATTTTGCATTTAGATTATTCCGTTCATAATGAAATCGTTTTGAGTTTTCTTGCCACGTTATTCGAGGCCCATTTCCAACTTAAAATCTTTAATAAGTCCGGGTATTTCCTACACAAACGAAAACTTTTTACTAGACGGGTTTCCATTTTATCGCTCGACAATAATTTCCCGGTTTAAAGTTGAATGAGGTCGGGCTGCAAGTAAATAGTCTTTTGTAAAGGTGGAAGCTCTTTAATATCAATCTTCCTAGTTATTGATTCGCACTTTGGACGGAATTTAAATTACCCAGTCTCTCAATTCAATTGGGCCTGACAGATATATACATTTCGTTCATATTTTTGGGTTTTCTAAACCAGTAAAATATGCCCCTTTGCCTATTTTTAATGCCAAAATGCCCATTTTTTACACAATTTCAAAGCTCTTAGAAATATAGTAAACATACCCCTAAATTTGTGGAAATTTAATAATTTATAAAAAATTTTACATAAATTTAGAATATGTACACCTATAAAGGCTTAGATATCTTGGTTTTGTGAGAGAATTAATTTTTTGAACCCTTGTTTTTGAGCTATTTTTGATGATGGTTAAAATGTCCTCTACATCCATTAGTGTTCTCTAAGACCACAATTGATTATATTTTCTTATTCTACACCTTTTAATTAGTAAATAACAACAGTCTTAGCAAAATCGGTGACATGATGAAAATCGCCAATTTTCATGAGTTTTTTATGGAAAAAAAGTTGAAAGACTGCCCATTTTTGGCTATTTGCTCATTATTATGACTTTTACTATCTTGTTATTGATTTGAAAGAAAAAAAGATGGCTGTATCCCCGCAAAGTTTTTCCAATAAGTCGAGGTTATAAATTCAGAAACATCCGAATATATTTCGATGTTTAAAAATCACACCATCAACCCACATCGTGAGCTAAAGGAAAAAACTTCGAGAAGGATATTCGAGAACATTTTGAAATGTTAAATATGTCGATTACCGTTTTCCGACAAACTTTCTACCAGATAAAAAAAGAGAACTTAGAAACAATCTAACGCACAGTGTACACGTTGTCTTTTCTGTATTCGATAGTTGAATGTGAAACTTTGTTTTATAAACTGTGGAGTAACTTCGGGAAATTTTTCCTTTTTAAGATAACTTTTCAGCTGAGAACAAAGGGAGCTCCAAGCTACAATGTGTTAGATACTTTTTCCCGATTTATAGAACAAACGTTGGCTATTGGTGGCTGGTTTTTAATATTCCGAAAGGCAACTAATATTAAAAGTACTACTAGCTTCATTATTTTTGGCTTTATTTTCGAATCGACTGAAACAGATTTCTCAGTATAGTACATTACTTGAAAAAAAGTGGATGCGTTTTAAATTAAAAATTAACCGCAGTCGATTAAGATTGCTTATTAATTTTGTAGTTTTTGCTGGCAAAAAATATATTAAAGAAAAAATAACTCATCAACTTTTAACAAGTAACGTTCCTCATTAATTCGTACATTCTATCAAAATTTCTTGTTATATGTACCTTGTAAAAACCCAAACGAAAAAAAAACCCTCTTGCATGTTCTCACCGCTGCTATTAGCAAGAGGTCACGTATATCGACTGTCGCTTACCCCGTTTCATATACCAGAAAGTTACTAATTCTTACAAAAAATGGGGCGTTTAAATTTTAAGAGTTCGTTACCCGATAGCGGAATTGACAAAACACACGCAGTTCTATCGAGATTCCATTTTCATTATTTGTCTTGTGTTACAGATTAAATAAAATGAAGATATTTAAAACAATGAGCTTCTTTCCAACAAAAAAAACTAAGCCTTTTTGAGCTAATTTAGATTACAGATCTATATTTCGAGATATATATTTTAATAAAATGTCTTTTACAGATGTAGCTTGAGATCGGACTGTCAAGATGCAGCTAAGGACCCTTTGTATTGGATCAGCTATAAAAGTGGCAGATGCACTACCATCACATCTGTAATTCCTAATCAATTGCAGAGAACGACAGCTCGAACGGTAATGATTTAAGCACATTATGCATTAATTGAAAAAAAAAAATTAATCCGATCTTCTTTTAGCTGGACCTCGTAATCGACAATTTGCCGAGTCTCAGTGGTCATTTTTTGTGTGCATTTACCGCTTTAGATAAAACGCTCGTTACAAATGCTACCAGGAAAGGTTCAGGTGTTAATTGTACCACTCCTAGAACTGATTCTTTGCCTTCGATACCACCAGGACAGCGTAAGTGATTTTCAGAACTAATTACATCTTCTCTTAGAGGTTTTCAGATTCTTTAAAATATATATAATGTCTTTTAAAATGGTAATCTATTTTTTCAGATCATTTTACGGCAAAATTGTCGGTGCGGATGACTTCAGGACCTGATTTCGTAGCAACAAATTTTACTTTCTTTGACTGCAACACTTACAGCTCGTGCACTCAGTGTGTTTCATCATCGTTTCCTTGCGATTGGTGTGTAGATGGTCATCGATGCACTCACGACACTGCAGAAAATTGTCGTAACGACATTTTAGTAACAGGTGTCAGCGTAAGTAGTTCACAAAACCTTTTTCGGGTGTTTTTCTCTAAAAATACAATTTCTTTTAGCGCGCTGGACCAAGCTACAGATCAGGACCAGGTTTTTGCCCAACTATAAACTCCACCGTGGGTAATTCACCTGAAATTCTCGTGTCTTCTGGCATCAAAAAAGGAATCAAAGTAAAAGTACATATCATCGGGCAGTTCATAGTTCAAACTCGTTTTGTCTGTCAATTCAACATCGAAGGGAGAGTTACGAGTGTTAACGCGCAATTACTTGGCGACACTATCTACTGTGATCCCATGGAATTCACTTACTCATCAAGAGCACCGAATATAACAGCTACCTTTGCGGTCATTTGGGGAGGTTCCAAGCCTTTAGATAACCCAGACAACATTCACAGTAAGTTACAGTTTGTATAAACTCATAAATACCTTTCAAACACTTATTAATTTTTAGTTGTAATATACCGTTGTCATGATATGGCGGATAACTGCGGAATGTGCCTAGCTTTATCAGAAAAATACGAATGTGGATGGTGTCAAAGTTCTGATAGATGTGAAGTCAAAGAGCAATGTGAAAGAGGGACATCGGTATGGCTTAACCGGAGCCAGACTTGTCCTAACCCAGAGGTTACCTCATTCAGTCCAGAACTAGGTCCATGGGAAGGCGGTACAAACATTACAATATCAGGAATCAACTTAGGAAAAACATTTCAAGATATTTATACCGGCGTCAGTATTGCTGGAATCAATTGCCAACCCTACGAACACTTGTACGTCAAAACAAATCAGATAGTGTGTATTGTGGATGGGCCTGGTACAAAGGAACCCCGTCAAGGTCCAGTAACCGTTAAAGTCGAAGATTACAGAGGCGAATCAAAGACACACTACAGATTTGTTGACCCTGCCATAACAAGTATATCTCCGAGATATGGTCCAAAATCAGGCGGAACCGCTTTGCAAATTACTGGAGAATACATGAACGCAGGAAGCAATATTCAAGCTTTTCTCGAAGATATGCCTTGTAAAATAGTCTCGTAAGTATCAGATATTAAAAAAATAATTAAAGTTACTTCTAAGACATATATCCAGACATATATTCCAAGAGGAAGACAAGAATTTCCAAAATACTACATAATGGTAAAATTATTCTACTCCTAACCTCTATAGCATATCTCCCCCTGGTGTTGATTATCTCCCCTGCTTCCTATAAATAGCAGGTAATTTTATGAGGCAATATCCTCCTGATAAGATATCAAAAAATCCACTATATATACTAAATAAACTCTTTTTCCAAGTCATTTACCAGGAATTAATCTTAAAGGGAGATTTTTATCTGGATTTTCTTTTCTTTTCTTAACGACATTAATGATCTTTTTTCCAGAACGGAACAAAATCAAGCTTTGTGTATTACAAGTGCGTCTGATAGCATAGCAAAGAAAAAATTAAGAATGAAATTCGACAAAGGCGATAGATACTTAGAAAATATGATGTTCGAATACGTCGACGATCCAATTATTGAGTCTGCGGAGTCTGGAGTGCAGACTGGACAGATAAAATTCCCCAAAGGTATACCTGCTGGTGGAATAAAGATATCTGTAACTGGAAAAAATTTAGCATACATACAAAAACCTCAAATGTATGTTTTCTACGAGCAAAAGATGTTTGTCAGTGTAAGGCTTAAATAAACAACAGTCGTATTATGTTCATTCGTATTAAATAATTTACTTTCAGGAATGCACGGTTTTAAGCAACACAAGTATGGTATGCAACAGCCCCGTCATAGACGAAGTAGATGAATCAAAATTAGATGCAGACAATCCTTTAAAGTTAGAGTATGGTTTTCGGATGGACAATGTAACCGGAGTTCAAAATTTAACTTTAAACAAGGACTTTAATCCATTTTTACTTTACCCTAATCCAACATTTTATCCTTTTGACAAAGAAGTTAAATATTACAAGTCTGATTACCTCAATATCAACGTGAGTTCTTGTCTGTACTTAAATCAAAATCTCATTAATTAATTCTTTCCTCGCCTTTAGGGTCAAAACATCGACAGGGCATGTCAAGAATCTGATGTAGAAGTACGCATAGGTACAAGTTACTGTAATGTAACTTCTTTATCAAGGCAACAACTAACATGCAGACCTCCAGAAGTCCAACCTCCAGGAGTTGATCAAAGAGGATTACCAAACGGAGAAACTTTGCCAGAAGTTATTGTTACTGTAGGAGGATCCTTAAGATACAATATAGGCCATCTCTCTTATTCTTCCCCACAAAGTTTAAATGGGCCTCTAACAAAGCCAACGATTTACGGAGCTATCATAGCCATTGTCATAGTTATTGTAATGTCATTCATAGTATTCCTCATAGCATACAGAAGAAAATCTACTGAAAGTAACAGGGTTTTGAAGAACATGCAGGAGCAGATGGATATTTTAGAGCTAAGAGTAGCCGCTGAATGTAAAGAAGCATTTGCTGAACTTCAGACGGAAATGACAGACTTAACTAGTGACCTGACGTCAGGAGGTATACCATTCCTCGATTACAGAACATACGCGATGAAGATTCTTTTCCCTAACGAGGACGATCATGCGGTGCTGCAGTGGGAAAGACCAGAACTTATTTGTAAAGAAAAAGGTCTCCGGTTATTTGGACAGCTCATAATGAACAAGACTTTCCTGCTATTATTCATTAGGACTCTAGAAAGCAACCGATATTTTTCTATGCGCGATAGAGTAAACGTAGCAAGCCTAATAATGGTTACATTGCAGAGTAAAATGGAATATTGCACTGATATTCTCAAAACCCTTTTGGCAGAGCTTATTGAAAAATGCATGGAGGGTAAAAGCCATCCGAAGCTTCTTCTACGCAGAACTGAAAGTGTCGCCGAAAAGATGCTTAGCGCTTGGTTTACATTTTTGCTGTACAAATTTCTCAGAGAATGTGCCGGTGAACCCTTATTTATGTTGTTTAGAGCAGTAAAACAACAAGTCGACAAAGGCCCTGTAGATGCTATTACTTCTGAAGCCAGATATTCACTTAGTGAAGAAAAGCTGATTAGACAATCAATAGATTTTAGACCAATGGTAAGTGAATTACTAAATAATATTTAAATTAAGTACTACTATTTGTTTTATTATTTTAGACCGTATATGTGTCGATATCGCAGCAAGCGTTTGTTGGGGGGTTAGATATCAACACCGAAAATGTTCCTGTAAAAGTCCTTGATTGTGATACAATTAGTCAAGTAAAAGAGAAATGTTTAGACACTATTTATAGAGCCACACCTTATTCTCAGAGGCCCAAAAAAGAGGATCTTGATTTAGGTAAAATTTCTGTTAATTAAAAACTTATTATGTGTTAATAATGAATTAATAATCTTTCAGAATGGCGAACAGGTACCTCGGGTAGATTAATATTGTATGATGAAGACACCACAACAAAAGTAGAGGGAGACTGGAAGAGGAGAAACACTCTCCAGCACTATAAAGTACCTGATGGTGGATGTCTCACCTTGGTGTCCAAACAAAGTTCAATATACAATCTGAGTATTTTCTCAGACAAAAACGACAAGTCTCACAAATACGAAACATTAAATCTTAGTAAGTTAAGTTCAGTAAGTCCTCCGTTAAGCAGAGCCACTAGTCCTTTAAACCATGACCATGATCAGGGACTGAAAGTGTGGCATTTAGTCAAACATCACGACAGTGATAACCAAAAGGAAGGAGAAAGAGGCAACAAGATGGTGTCTGAAATTTACCTAACCAGACTTCTTGCCACCAAGGGAACGCTACAAAAATTCGTCGATGATCTCTTTGAAACAATTTTCAGCACAGCCCACAGAGGATCAGCGCTCCCCTTAGCCATAAAATACATGTTTGATTTCCTCGACGATCAAGCGCTGCAACATGGCATTACTGATCCTGAAGTAGTACACACATGGAAAAGCAATTCCTTACCCTTAAGGTTTTGGGTGAATTTAATTAAGAATCCAAATTTTGTGTTTGATATACATAAGTCAAATATAGTTGACGCTTGTTTGTCTGTAGTTGCTCAAACATTCATGGATTCTTGCTCTACATCAGATCATAGATTAGGTAAGAAATCAGGAATTACTTAGCGAATATGAAGTACTCAGTTTTCCTATATTTAGGCAAGGATTCTCCAAGTTCAAAACTACTTTACGCCAAGGACATCCCTTGCTACAAAGATTGGGTTGATCGGTATTATTCCGATATTAAAATGATGCCTGCAATTTCTGACCAAGATATGAATGCCATGCTAGCCGAAGACTCTAGAGTGAGTATATAAAAAGAAGATACTTTATCTATTAAACTAAATTATTACTTAAAATGCTGTGTTGTTTCAGCTACACACAACCGAATTTAATACAAACTGTGCTCTACACGAGCTGTACACTTACGCAATGAAGTACAACGAACAACTCACTGTAACCCTGGAAGAGGATGAGTTCTCGCAGAAGCAACGCTTGGCTCTCAAGTTGGAACAGGCACACAACATAATGAACGAGTCGGGGCAACCATGATATTGGCCTGACCTGACGTGCCAGTCAGCGGAGCTCGACCTCATGTGCTCGTCGGACGACACTCTGCCAATCCATCCGACATCGGATGACGGCATTGACCTCATGAGACCGTCTGCTCCGCCCCTTTCGGCTGCACTTCAGGAATTAGCTTGCTGATAAATGTTATACGCCAAATTAGTCCCCTGCCTGACTGTCAACCTCATGGTCATAACATCTCTCGCCCGTTTTAAGTAACGCGTTTACTTTTTTACTAATTTTACACCAGTAGTGTTACTGGCAAGCACACCGCATTTTATTTATATTTAAATCACAGAATCTGAAGTTACACCACAGTTTGATAGGTATTATCTAAGGAATTGGCACCATTTGAAAGCGGTGGACAAAGACGACAGACCCTTAAAAGACTTTTAAATGTAGTAATAAAATAAAACACAGCAAAACGCGCTACTTAAGGGTATTATCTATTTTCTTCTATGATCAGTTAAACGTATATGTATAGTTTAATATTTTAGTGCTTGTAATTTTTGTAATAAAAATATCAAACCCTAAAGAAATAATTAACATCTCTCCAGAGTTATCTGTCTATAATGAAATAAAAGTATGACGTAAAAGGCATAGAAATAACATTTCAGTTCAATTTCTGTTCGCGAGTTTTTTAAAGCATCTGTCAAAGTATTGAAATTACAATACATAAAATACCTAATTGTGTAAAAAAGAAAAAAATCGATACTATCAAGGCAGTGGATGTCACTTCGGTATTCTAATTCTGTGTTTAAAAATACTTTGCAATTTAAATGACATTTGCTCAATTGGTAAGTGCCTTTTCTAGAACGTTTAGTATCAAAAAATAAGAATGCATAAGAATGGTTTGATTGGTTAATAACATTAATTTAAAAATAGGTATTAAAAAAAGAGAATTCGTACAGCTCGTATGATATCTGGCGTATTAAAAAATAATATTCATCACAAAAGATTTTAATTTTTGCAATTATATAGTCTTGACATAAAATACAAAACAATGTTAAAGTTTCTACACAGACTGTACCCTTAAAAACCAGCAAATATAAAGTTCTGATTGTTTTTGGGCTGTCTGTCATATGCATTTCAACTTGCAACGTATTATCTGAAAGCGTTTTATTTCTGTGTTTTGGCAAACGCATTACTGGTTGTAGAAATTATAGAAAAGTAAATATGTCCTAATGTACGCATTTTTCGATAGTAGAATGAAAATGGGAGTAACACAGGAGGATGGACTAAGCAATACATATCCCTACAGACTAAATTCTTTGTGTGTTACGAATTGCTGTTGTGCAATTATAATTGTTCAGTGTATATGCGGGGACAGTACTCACTCATTGACTCTGAAGTGCCTCTGGTAGATTGAGTGTGTCTGCCTCCAAAAATGAATGTACTATATTTTTATGATAATACTAGAATTATGCTTTGTTGTGCTGATCCTCTCAGCCTTAGTCCATATTATTGATGATTAACTGGAAATATCAAGTCTAACAATGGCTTTTTTGATATGTGTATAATTATTAAAACTTTATACAGTTTAATATTTTTATATTTCAGTTGGAAACCTTGTACCGTACTTCTACTCTACCGACGCGAACTAGCAATTTTTCCAGATATCAGTCAATTTTTACATATTTCAATTTAGTCTATGTAGGTTTTGGTATGTTAGCCACAACCTGTACAGAAACCCTTACTCCAACGCAGGTCACCTGAAAGTCATCTCTCATTTTCGATATAATAACCACAATAGCGTAATAAAAACATTATCTTTCGTTGGTATAAGGGGTTCTTCTATATATTAAAATCGATGTCAATGTCACAAATGTAAAAGCTGGTAGAACTAAGGTACACCAATCGAACGCAATCATTGTTGATTGTCTTCCGCAAAAAGGAAGCACCAGGGTGTAGTATTTATGCGACCTTTCAATCATTTGATGTCTCAAACTATACAAATTATGCACGAGGTCGTTATCAATGTGGTTTTGTGTAAGTGTCCTAAGGCTGTGTAAGTTTACGTAAACAACCAGCGTAGTACACTGCCTAACAGAAAACTAATACACTGTGATCAAAAGAAAAAAACATTACATTTAGCTCAGTTATAATATTTGAGTTTGAGCTTTGCTATATCTCTGGCTGACATTGACAGTTAGGTCCTTGTTATAACTACGATAAAAGAAATATGAATATCTCTCAAACAAATGAAGCAAGTATTTTAATAACTATTTATATGATATTATGATCGTAGATGATATTAGATATAGCTCAAACTCAAATGTCCTTGCGCTTAATGATAGGTGGTTCTTATCTGATCACATGGTATGCACCATATTATGTGTTTTAATAAATGTGAAAGGCTTTTTAACTATAAAATAAATGGTAAAATTAGGTGTCTCTTTTCTGTTCGGAAGTGTATATGTTGTCGCACCGACAGTTTTTGTTTTGGGCAGTGTTGCTGTCTACAGCTACCTGACGCATTGGTTCCATTTTAAGGTCACTAAATAAAAACAAATATATGTATATATGTACATATATATCCAACAACAAAAAGGCCCTATTTTGCAGCGATTAGTATAATAACGTGTTACCTCTATTCCGCGCAAACTTTACACAGACATGGCTATTGATACTATCCGAAACATTTGAGTGTTTGAGGTAACACATTTTTAGCCTAAAAGCTTACACATTTACGTTTTATCCTGAACTCAAAAATATTTGGAAGATTTTGTCAGAAAAAATTATCCTTATACGTAATTTAAATATACTTTTATATAGAGAAATTATTTCCTTATTGCTGAATGTTTCTGATACGTATTAATATCCCATTACAATACTCAATTATTAAGGCCTTTCTTTTTAACTTTATTAACCGATTATTTTTAAGCAATAACTATACTGCCTATTTTATAGTTTTTAAGACTTTACAACATTCCCATTTTAGTGAGAGCGTTTTTAAGTATACTTAATTAAGTCTTGGTGTTATCTGTGAATATTAGATTAACTAAGAGTCATGCCATAGAAACATTCAGTGATCTTTCTTAAGTTGCAATATTTTTCAATTTAGTGATATATCTGTTTAAGTATTTATGTTTAATAATTTTATATTTTTATTATTAAAGAATGAAACTAGGTATATATTCAGTTTTTTAAATATAACTTTGAGACAACTAGCGCTTTAATCAATTTTTTATTTATCTATTATTAACCGTATTTTGTCTATAATTTCGCAGTCGTCTCAAAGATAATTTTATCTAACGAAATCTAGTGATTATTTTAACTGTTTAGCAATATTTATCATAGTTACCCAACAGTTTTTAAGGAAACTTGAATGTAATTAAAAAAGGCATATTGCAAACTACTGTTCAGTTCATAATCGTTAGATTTTTGACCACTCAGATAATATTTATTATGGGAACAAAATATATGTATGCTATATTTCAAAATATTTTTAAATTATGTAAATTCTTTCAAATGTTAGTAGATTTATTTTAATAATTACGAATATTGTCACCGTCCTTATTGGAACAATGTAATTCTCAATATAGCTTATGGACAGCTACGCATATCATGTCCAGATAGGCACACTTTTATACCTATTTTCGTACTCATATCTATGTAACCCCTTTTTTCCCTATTAAGATTTTATTTTTTTTTTGTAATTTTATTTAAGTATTGTATATAAAAAATTTTATGCCAAAAAAATTGCTTCTGGACAACTGCATAGGAAGAATTGTAAATATTAAATGTATGTATGTAAGTAAGCTGGAATGAATGAATATTGTGTTTATATATGTACGCATCATCTCTTGATATATTCATAGTACTGTGTGTATATCTGATTGCATCTGTAATAATATGAATGGTAATGTATTACTATATGTTATTATAAAAGACTGAATGGAGTTACTAAACTACTTAATAGAAAAATATAACTTGTAGTTTCTTTTACCACAAATACCTCATATCCGATAGGATAATAACCAACTTTTAATAAATAAAATATTTACTCAATATAATAAAAATCTAATTTCAAGTTATAAAGAAAAATAAAAAGTGCATAAATTATTAATCGCATTAATACAACACACTGTATAATAAATATACAAAATTTCAAATAAAAACTCGCAAATATATGAAAAAAACTAAATTATTTTATAAGAATAAAACTCATTTATGTTTAAATAATTTCATAGAGGTGCTTTAAAAAATAATTAATCTAGCCAATTCTATGACCATCCTATTTAATTATTTAAAAGACACTCGTTAGCGCTATCTTACACATAAAACATGTAACTAAAAAGTAGTATTCTATTAATCTGTAAAAACTATCGCTAGTACCATCTATGTACAAGCGAATTAAGAAACAACTATTCTATTAAAGCATTCTATAAGGTAGACTGCATGTGCAATCTATGATCAAGTAGCTTAAGTTCTGTATTAAAGTTACCTATAAATATAAAACCATCTCCGGAGTTATCTATAATTTATCTATAATTATATCAGTTCTGGGTATTATCTGTGATCCATAGAATAACTAACTGAAAGAAATGAAAACTCCTATGTTAAAGCCTGGAAACACGCGCTCGACGCGATCCAAGCGGGCTACTGGCAGAACTAAAAGTTCGCGCCATATTTTTAAATGGATCTTTACTGCCAGTTCATAAGTTTTTTACTTATATTTGGTAATTTCAATTTAGATTATGAACTTATTTGTAACAAAACATTTTACAAAATAAAAATAATGTATTTTGATACAAATAAATTACTAATCTAGGTTGAAATTTATCCCTGAAATTAGAATAAAACACGAAAAATTTGTAACTTGATTATTTTATTATAACATTGTTAATAAAATTACATATAACACATTCAACACTATTGTATTTGACTAAGAGTGGGTCCCATAGGGGACCCTCCACTGAGGCCGCGAGGGCCTATTGTGGCTGTGATTTCATTCAACACATACAAGTATATATAAAAGTTATCAGAATTTATACAATCAGTTATAAGTAATTATAAAAAAGGTTATAAATTATAAATAAATAATTTATTATATAAAAGACATATAGTTACCGAATATAATTTGGTATAACTTTAATCTCAACTTTAATGACCTATTCAAATAGAAACATCTTACAATTCACATTATATAATACACAAAGCCAAGGGACAAAATTGTTATTAAATCTATTCTCGATGACTCGAAGCATTTTTTTTTCAAATAAAACAGGACATATAGGGCTTATAAATAATACAAGGGTATAGAAAATATATAAATAAGTAAATACAAATATATTTTCAACCTAATGATTAGTGATTATACTCGTTTAAATAAATAAATGATCTTTTAAAAATTACTTGTTTGTCTTTGCAAATTTGTATATTTAATATTTATCTAAAAGCGTACACTTACATAAATTACTGCACAACCTTTAAAATTAAGCTTTTAATGTTATACAAATTCTTGATTCGATATAAATACACTTAAATAAAACTTTAAAATTAATGATCTTCCAAATTTCTGAGACAGCCATTTTGTTGAAAGAATTTGTTTTGATTATGAGAAATTTCATAAAAATTATCACAGGGATGAATTAATCTTATATATTAAACTACTTGGCTTTTAAATTTCACAATCCTATCGTCCAAAATACTCTAAATTCGCAAAAATCCGTAAAAGAGGGCCCGCCATTGAATAACCGGAAACGGAAATGAAAATTAAAGCCATCATATCCTTATCATAACCTGTCAATTGGAAAATTAGTTCTCCAGACGACAACGACGGCTTTCGGTGGCGTATCGTGTTTCCAAGATTTAACACAGAGTTGACACTTCTTTCTAGTTAATTATTTTATGATTGCCAATGCCAAATATGGAATGACGTTTATTTTTCAATTTATTTTACTGATCTAACTGATCCGGGTCACTTAGAAATTAAATTTTTATTAAATTATTTAATTATAATTGTTTCTGGCGAAAGCAACTTCATATCAATGTTTATTCATAGGGTAACAAAGCACATCACTGTTAAATTATCAACATTTTATATAAATATTTATATTTTTCAACTACTCAATTACTCCACAGAGAATCAAACGAATTGTTAATTAAACTATACTCTGTGGATGACTTGATAAAATCATGATGAAATTAAAGTCCCTAGATGAATATCTAGGGACTTTAGATGAAATTTCTACGCAGCGCCATCTATCCCTCTACTGGCAGAAACTCCGCCGTGTTTCCAAAATTCAAATGGCAGTTTCATCCGCCTGCTGTGATCCTTCTGTGATTATATCACAACATAACGAAACTGTCTTTTTGCTTATATAGTCACAGGTGGTGCTAATTAACGGAATGTACAGTATGAAAGGGTATGATCGAAAAAAAACGGCGTCTAGTTGGCTTGGAAATAACGATCGATGACAGGGGCGGATGCAGGAATTTATTTTAGGGGGGGCCAAATAAAAAGTAATGTAGAATATATACTTATTAAAGCACCATTTTTAACCCAAAAGCCTAATAATTAACCCAATTTGGTAAAGGTGTGGATCCGGTGGCTGACCTTGAAGCCCATATTTGCTGCTTTTGATCATCGATACTACGCAAGCGCACATCGTCGATGTTGCCAAATTGCAGTTTATTTTCGAATTATTTGCAGTTGAAATTTTTTTTTGCGTGTTAATCAATAATAATACAAATTCTATAATTTCAGATTTATCTTTATATCCAAAATTAAGGTAAGAAGGATAATGAAGATTGTGAAATGAAAGTATTATAATATATAAAATTGTAATAATAATAACATTTATTTATATGTTTACATTTGAATTAAAATTTATCATTTACGGATTTTTTCTTAATGGTTTTAAACTTATTAGAATTATTTTATTTCTTTCAAGTTATTTAATTTCTAGTTATTTACAGGCAACAATATTTTTGATTATATGCATGTATTGATGTTTTGAAGTACTACCATGACGGGTCTTATTATAGAACAATAAACGTCAATCGGAGATGAGGTAACATTTTACCTATTATATAATGTTACTAATATAATATACTTTGATTATAATTAATGTTTGTATCATAATTTCTTAAAAATATCAAGCATAGATATCAAGTTAGTGGATTTTATCGAAGAGTGTGTTGATAAGACTAAAATAAGCTTTATGTTTTATCTTTTTCTCTTTAGAAGGGAGATGGTTTGTATCGTAAAATACATTACAGTATTTAATATCGTGTACTTTGTTATTCTTTTCTTAATTTACTGTAATTTCTTGTTTCCTATAATGCCAAATCTTGACAATATGGTGAAGGTTGAGTTTTGATCTTATTAGTTTTATAAGAATAATAATAATAATAGAAATACAAGACTAAATTAAGACTTAGTTTGTGATTTATATTAAGATCTTTCTTATAATATTTGTTATGTCTTCATCTTAATACTATATTATGCTTGGTCTGGAAAATAAATGTTAAAATATCTTAATTTTGCATATCCTATTCAACCTTCCATTAGGAAAAATATGGTTTATAAATCATATAGAGAGAAATCTTAATGTAGCAGAAAAATTAATGCAATATATGTATAAGCAGAATTAAACAAGGTTTGAATCAGTCCTCAATACGAATACGATACAATATTGAAGGTCCTCAATACTGTTAATGTTGCTGAAGCTGATTCTACAATTTTAATTACGGAGGCTAAAAGGCCTTTTAAGGCCTCCGTAGTTTTGATGGAATGTTAAAAAAATCTATTATGAACATGACATGGAGCTACAGCATTTAAAAATTAAAAAACAAAGAAAAAATTTGGACACATCCCTTTTAATTTCCCGAATTTTTAATAAAGCACTTTTTAAACGTAGCATAATAATCTAGATAGGAATCTAGAGTTTTATTTCTATATAATTTTATTGACTGAAAATACATAATAAGCGTTCACGTGTTGTGCGAAATATTAAAATAATATACCGCGTACTATGATTGAAAAAAATAATAGCGTCAGCAATGACTATGAAATGAAGATCGCTGTCATTTTATGGAAATGTCCTCAATCGTCATTTCCCAGACAACTGGACGCCGTTTTTTCGATCATACGGTATATATTGACAAAAAAACACTGAAAAGCACATATTTGTTTTCAACTGAAAATAATTCCAAAATAACTCACAATCTGGCAACATCGAAGATGTGCGCATGCGTAGTGTCTGTGACTACATGCGGCAAAAATCGTTTCAAGGTCAGCCACCGGATCCACACCATTACCCCCAATTTATAGATTTTAGGGGGGGCCTTGGCTCCATGCCCCCCCTCTGTATCCGCCACTGTTCGATGATATTCCCTAATATAAGGCTAATATAAATTTACATATAAAATAAAAGCGATCTTTATTTCATAGCCATCGCTGACTCCGTTTTTTTCGATCATACGGTACATTACCTCTGGCATTTTTTAGCAACCAGTAAAACACAATTAGAAATACTTGAATAAATTTTATAAATACTGATTGGTATATTATATAAATATATAAGTAGGAATAGAAAATCTAGGAAAAACAGGAATATATAACTCTAAACAAATTAATATTTTTAATTAAAAAGAACCATTTAAAATGGAATGCATTTAAAATGGCACTTATGCCTTATGGCAACACTGTCTGAAGATTCTGAACATCATGAATCAGCTGATTTAAATAACCATAATTGAGTAAGGTAAATACACTTATTCCTCATTTTTTTCCTCTAAATTAATTAGGTAGATGGGTAACAATAAACATTAATTGTAAACATATTAATATATATTTCTTATTAATTGTTCTCCAGGCTTTACAGATCATCGTACTAATTTCCATCATTTAAATCATTTTGACGTTTATTGCAATCAGTGAGGTTACAAACACCTTAATTCATTCATTGTTGCAGTGTATGATAAAAAAAAATTGTGCAATTATTACAAAGATGCATGTCGAAGTGCCTGTAGACACTGATTTTCCGGTAGGGGGTTTGCTACCAAAAAAAGAAACAGGAGCTAGTGCTTTTCTTTCAAAATATCCAACTTATGATGGCAGAGACATTGTTATTGCCATTCTGGATTCAGGAATAGATCCAGGTGTTCCTGGACTACAGGTAAAAGAAGTACTTTTAAAAATAAGTTTAATCCATACTGTTCTTTCAGAAAACTAGCACTGGGAAAGTTAAAGTTATTGAACGGTTTGATTGCAGTGGTTGTGGAGATGTGAATACAAGCACTGTTGTAAAACCAGAAGACGGATACATTACTGGTTTAACTGGTCGCCGAATGAAGGTATGTTCTATCAAGATTATAAGGAAATTGGAATAATTTTTTTGTGTATTTACAGATTCCAAATGACTGGAAGAATCCAAATGGTACATACAGAATCGGAGTGAAAAATGCTTTTGACTTGTATCCGGATAGACTGAAAGACAGGATCAAGGCAGAATATAAAAAAAAGCAGTGGGATGAAGGTCACAGGAAAACAGTCAGCGACCTTAACAGGAAATTAGCAAAGTTTGAATCTCAACAACAGAACAATAATAACCCAAATGAGAATGAAAAATTTGAAAAGGAAGATTTAGAGGCCAAATTAGATGTATTAAATAATTTAGATAAAAAAAATTGTGATTCAGGTCCGGTATATGATTGTATCTTATTTCATGATGGAGAAAAATGGCTATGCTGTGTAAATACAAGTGATGACAATGATTTATCCCAATGTCCTTTGTTAGGTGAATACAGCATAACACATGAATATCTACCATTAACAAAGCAGGATAGTTTAAATTTTAGCATAAATGTTCATGAAAAAGGAGATGTTTTGGAGTTAGTAGGAGTTTGTTGTAAGTATTTTGTTATAAATGTGTTATCTATACCTGTATAGATGAAGTGAAAATGATACTTATCTAAGTTTATTAATATTAGCTTTTTTGTTCAGCTAATAAGAATAGCAAATAAAATTGTATTGTTGATAAGCAACTTGAATTGAATTATATCACAATACTTCTATTGTGATTATATTTAGAAACAAAAAGTTTTATACTCATTATTTATAATTTGATTATGAAACTAATTGTTTTAATTATCCATAGTTAATAAAAATAATTGAAAATTGAGTTTTTATTATTATTGGTTAATGAAAATTAATTTTGTATATTATTAAAGCAAGTCACGGCACCCATGTAGCTTCTATAGCAGCTGCATATTTTCCTGACTCTCCAGAACAAAATGGTCTAGCTCCAGGAGCTCAAGTAATATCTTTAACCATTGGAGATGGACGATTAGGTTCAATGGAGACAGGGACTGCTCTAATTCGTGCTATGATAAAAATCATAGAGCTCAAACAAAAAATGAATATACATGTTATTAATATGAGCTATGGAGAACATGCTCATTGGGTTGATACAGGGTAAGATTTTTTTCATTTATATTTTAAGATACTGTTTTTATTTTTGATGTTACTCAGGCGTATTGGAGATTTGGTTAATGAAATAGTTAACAAATATGGAGTGATATGGGTTTCATCGGCTGGCAACAGTGGTCCTGCTTTAGGGACTATAAGTACTCCATCTGACATCAATGATGAACCCATCATCAGTGTTGGGGCCTATGTATCACCTGAAATGATGGTAGCTGAGTATGCCATGAGGCAAAAATTACCAGGTAATTTTTTCCTATACAGGGTTATTTATATTTACGTTATTTGACGGTATTGCAGCTAAATGGTTAGAAATTGTGGTTCTTGAATGCCTCTACTTAAATAAATGCAACTTTAATATTTTTTTACTCATTTGGGACACTCTGTACATTGTAAATAGTCCTTTATCCATTCTAGATCTCACAACTGATAAACATATTAATCACCTGGAGCTCCTATAATAAGAAAAAAACTGACGAATTTTGTATAAGTGCAAACCTAAATTATGTATTAGAAATTAAAATACATTTTTTTGGAAAATCTGGTTCAAAAAAGTATGAGTGGATCGGGAATTTTTTTAAATGGAACACCGTGTATATTATTGCATTTTTGGCCATATTTCTGATCAGTTTACATATTAAATATATTTTAATACTTTCAGCAATATTATTAAATATAAATAAAAAAAAATTATGAGCCTTCTCTAAAATAAGAAATTATTAACAGACTATACTAAACTTACTAAAATAAGTAAAGTGCGTCTGCTGGATCTGTGTCTATGAAAGGAATGCGGACAAAAAACATTTAAATAAACAGCAATATATTTTATACGTCGACTTGACGAGTACGTCACCGCAAATCGCTCCGCCCACTCATTTTATTGGCTACTTGCAAATTTGTCGAATTTTTATTGATGGGACGCGTCCTTTAATTTTTTACGAAAAACATGGAGAGAAAATCGTTTCCCCTCTCACGGATAGCCCGTAGCTACAGAACGGACAGACGCACTGTACAGTAAAAAGTATTTTAAAATTTTTAGCGGTTTTGCAAATATTCGCATTTTTATTACATATAGCTTTTTCAACGGTAAAATACTAGAAATAAAAATCATTAGATGGCTTTTATAAAAAATTACTGTAGAAAAACTCAAACCGTTAAAAATGTTGAAATACTTTAAATACAAAAATGGTCATTTTTTAATTCTCCATCTAACAATGCAATAATATACAGGGTGTTCTATTTAAAACCCCAAGAAAAACTATTTTACATTTTAGAAAGTTGGTTAGGTTTGGTTACCCTGTATGGATTAAGATTACGATATTAATAGGAAAGTATGTACAGACCAGCTATAGTAAATACCTAGTATAGTTTTGATTTCATGACATTTCTTGTATTTTTAATTTTTTTTTTAAAAGGCTGATTTTTTTTATTTATTAATATCTCTGAATCTATCAAAGCATATAATATAATATTTTAGGAGTAAGTAATGTGATCAGACAGGAAGAAAAAAATGCTATAATATACAAGGTGTCCCATTTAAAAAAAATCATCATGATCCATTCACAGACACACATTTGAGGCACACTGTAGAAGTTAAAATATTTTCGTAAAATACATTCTAAAATCCTAACACATACTTTAGGTCTGGGAGGGGGGTTAGACACTTTAAATCTGCAACTAAACAAAATTCCTAAGTTTTTTTATTATAGGAGCTACAGATGCCCGACGCACTATTGCCGGACCCTGTATTAATCACTAATATGATTCAATTTAGGAGCTCCATACACTTGGTCTTCACGTGGCCCTACACTAGATGGTGGTGTGGGGGTTCATTTATGTGCCCCAGGAGGAGCTATTACGTCAGTACCTAATTTTACTCTTAGATATTCGCAACTAATGAACGGCACGTCAATGGCCGCACCTAACTGCGCTGGCGCTATAGGTATTTTACTCTCAGGACTCATTCAACAAGGACTGCCATATTCCCCTTATTTAGTTCGAAAAGCTCTAGAAAACACGGCAAGTTTTATCGACGGCATTGAAATTCCAGCTCAAGGAGCTGGATTGATGCAAGTGGAGAAGGCTTTTGATTTTTTGGTGTCTTATCACGATATTCAAGAACGCGACGTAAGATTTCAGTTACAATGTGGCTCATGTAACTCAAAAGGCATTTATCTCAGGACAAAAACTAATACTAGCAAGCACACGTTTAAAGTCAGTGTAGATCCACACTTTTTAAATGAGGATGAGGTCCTGCCAGAAACCAAGATTAACTTTAATATGAAGCTTGTCTTGACTTGTAGCAGCAGTTTTGTTGAATTTCCTAAGCACCTAGACCTATCTAATTTTACCAGAATGTTTGCAGTCAATATTGACACCTCCTCACTGGAGGAGGGACTATATTGTAATTTTATTAATGCATATGATGTGAACTGCATTGCTAAAGGCCCAGTTTTTAAAATTCCTATAACCGTGATACAACCTAGAGAAATAACAGAACCAAAATTCACTGTAAAATATAATAGTGTACCTTTCAAATCGAACACCATAAAAAGACACTACTATGTGGTGCCCAATATGGCAACATGGGCAGTATTGAAGCTCACATCTAATGAAGACAGTGGGCGTTTTGTAATTCACACTATTCAGTCATTACCTAGGCAACACTGTAAAGCATTAGAAACTAATAAAACCATCGCCGTGACATCAAAGACTGACTCTTACATCAGCTTTCAAGTTAAAGGAGATAGTGTGCTCGAACTTGTCATAGCAAAATATTGGGCAAACATTGGAGAAGCTGCTTTGGACTATTCTATATCGTTTTATGGAGTGAAACCAAATCAACCTTCAATTAACATGCACGCAGCTGTTGGAATACATGCTATTGAAGTACAAACGTTACAAGGAGAAGAAATATCTCCATCAATTACCCTCAAAAATTCAGTACAAATTCTTAAGTATGTCTCTCTTCTCCAAGGAATGTATAAAACACTAAGAACCTTCTTATTTTAGGCCGTTAGAAGGAAAAATAGCCCCACTAAGAGCCCGAGATGTTATACCTCCAAACCGACAAATATATGAACTAGTTTTGGTATATAATTTCAGTATTACCAAGGCCTGTGAAGTATCACCCAATTTAGCACTTCTTAGTGATATGTTATATGAATCTGAATATGAATCACAACTATGGTTGTTATTTGATTGCAATAAGCAGTTACTAGGTTGTGGAGATGCTTATCCTTCCAAAGTATGTTAATATTTTCAAGGGAATAAAAAGCTAGTAGCTGTACTTTTTTCCTTATACTATTATACTTCTTTTACTAGAAATAAAAATCTTAATTAACATATAATTTTTAGTACACCGTAAAACTAGAAAAGGGAGAATATGTTATAAGACTTCAAGTCAGACATGATAGAAAAGACTACCTGGAAAAAATTAATGAAGCTCCCCTATTATTACAACAAAAACTTGCCAATGCTATTTCGATGGACGTCTACCTCTCCTACTCACAAGCTCTTGTTGGTGGGAAAAAAGCTGGAGTAACACACAATTCCAACCCTTATACTGTCGTTCCTTTATACATTGCACCATTGCCTTCCGATAAGTTCCCGCTCAAATCTAACAACACTGCTCATTATCTAACAGGTTACATAACATATGCAAAAGACGAATCAGGAAAAAAAGTAGATACATACCCAATAAAATATTTCCTAACCGACAACAGCAGCCCTAAAAAAACTGCTTCAAATGGAAACAGTTCTGGAGACAAAACTAAGGCGGATGAGTACAATGAAGCTGTCAGAGACTTACAAACTAGCTGGATAGCTAAACTTGGTAAAGAAAACTACCCAAAAAGTTGTCATTTATTTATATATTTTTTATCATTATTACAGATAAAGAAACCGCTGAAAAACTCTATGAAGACTTGACAAAAACATACCCTAATCACCTCCCAATCCATTCATCTTATCTTCAACTAATTGATCCATTGGATAAGAGAATTCTGCCAAATATTAATAAGAAACCAAACACCTCTCTTGAAGACTTAAACAAAGTTGTCAGTACCTGCGAAAAAGTTATAGAAAATGTTAATGAAGAGAGTATATTAGCTTACATGGCCACAAAGACTGATCTAAGATCAGATGCTGCAAAATTCAAAGTGTAATATATTTTTTTATATTTTATATAAATTTCTGTTTATTGTTTATTTAACTTTTTATTGTAGTCAAATGGAGCAACAAAAAAATGTATATTTGGAATGTTTAGCCAGGAAAGGTATTGCTTTATGCCGTATTCACTTATTATCAGAAAATGCTGATGCACAACTACAAGACATAGGAAATGTGTGGAAATCCCTTCTTAAATTTATTGATCCTTCTGACGCCAAGGTAATACGAAAAACCATCGAAAATAAATAATAATATATATAATAAATAAATGTACTTTTACAGGTCTTAACATCCCATGTATTATATTTTGCTATATGGCATTCGTTTGTAAAGCAACAGTATGGTCGATATTTAAAATACATTTTGAAGCTTCAAGAAGACAAGCCAACTGAAGATATTGAAAGAAGAGTGATTGAGGTTTGCCAAGAGCTCAAATGGAAACATCTTGTGAACTATTTAGAGAGAATGCTGCCTTCTAAATATCCTAATGCTTACAGACCTTTTTAATACTATTAAGTAGAAATAAATATTAAATATATTAGACTTTTTGATAATATTAAACTAAGGAAAAAACTTTTTATTTTGTATTTTAAAAATTGATATATGATTTTTATTTTAACTATTTTACTTGTACTTGTAGGGAATTATTTTAAGTGTGACAAATTTAGAGAATACCGATTTTTTTCTGTCGTCAGTATTAATTTAAAGTATATTCATAGGCTAATGAACTACTCTTTTTCTTTGTACACTATATATTTTAAAAAACAAGAACTAGCTCAACAATTATTTGGTTTAGAAAGTACTTCTAATTTTTAAATAATAAAATCACACACGTCAAGATAGACAATGGTGTCATTCCTAGTCAATGAGTATACTTATTAGTTCAATTAAATTTAGACAGAAATATATTTATTTTTATTTATCAGACACTTATTTTATTGTGCATGAATTTTAATGAATATCACAGCATTCATATACTTTCCTAGTTCATAAAATATAACATAAATTGATTATAATTATGCAATAAAGATGAGAGTAAATCTATCTTTTTTATTTACCTATAAATTTACCATATTATCCAGTAAAAAACGGCGTCAAGTGGGTTTGGCCATTTCCATAATTTTATTGGGGAAAATATTCTTAATTTTTGCCAGAAATCTTAATGCCAAGCGCGCACTGCAATCTCCCACAATGTAAAAATATTCGGTACAGTCTCTTTAGGACAGCATAAAGATACTATATACATATAAATATATTTATTATTAATAAAAAAAAATGTTAAAACATAATATATTTCATTTATTTTAAAACCCAATATCTGTAGTAATTGAAAAAATATAAAGGCTGGTGAGCCTATAATTTTCACTACTTCATTTGATTTGAATTAGCTTATTGTTACTAATATCCAGATAATAATCTTTGTTTTTTCTTTATTGTTTTTCGTGGTTCCAATTTTCGGAGTCGCGCACTAGTTAGGTGACTAGTTTGCGCACATAGCACGCCCACTTATGGCCTCTAAAATTGTGTACAGCGCCTGACCGGCACAGTTATTAGTGGTTATTAGAGAGATATCGGAAAACCGAATAGCGTCATCCAGTATTTACGCGTACCTTACAATGGTTACGATATGCGCGAGTCAATTTTTAACGCAACACCCGCTAATAACGGTACCGCCTGACGTAATTTGCGGATCAATTACACCAAGCGCTCTTTCTAAATAACCTCTGATAACGTTTAAAATTTGCTTAAATGGGCATGTGCGGGTGTGCGGGTTTGCACATCGTCATAAAAAACAATTTTCGTACCACGAATTAGGGACAAGATTTTTATCTGTATACTTATAGGATATCTAATCTGTGCTAATATTAAAAAGTATTTAAATAGATTACTGAATAATCCTGTAATATCGTAAATAAAACATTTAAGGTACGCGCACACTGACCAGAGCCGCACACGCCGCATCGACCGAAGAAAAATGTTTGTGTTTCTTTCAATGAAGGTGCGCACACTAGTCAGAGCCGCATGACTTCATTTAATCTATGTCATGAATCTATGTTATCTTCGGTCGATGCGGCGCGTGCGGCTCTGGTCAGTGTGCGCGTACCTTTAGGAGTCATATCATCAGGCGATTTTTTCTCACCCGCTTTTGATAATTAACTTGCAATAAAATGGTAAACCATGTAAAATTTTGTTTGGAGGGTAGTAGGTATATACTTATTTATCTTTAGTATAAGGATAAATATATGGATAAATAAAATTTGTTATATAGGTATAATTAATTTATAACAATTATACCAAGAAAATTGTATCAGGATATGAGTGTTTATTGGTAGCAAATAATAATTTTTTGTTGAATTCTGATAGATATTGGTAAAATGTACTGTACACTCAGGGTGCAGCCACACTATCCTAAAAACGGCGTATCGGCGTAACGGGCGTAATGACCTTGAATTGATTTCCAGTAATTCTATTGGCTGAAACATTCATCTGTCAGAAATTTTATCTGTCAAATTCATCTGTCAAAAATTTTAGCCAATAGAATTACTGGAAATCGATTCAAGGTCGTTACGCCGTTACGCCGATACGCCGTTTGTTGAATTCTGATAGATATTGGTAAAATGTACTATACACTCAGTGTACAGTACATTTTACCAATATCTATCAGAATTCAACAAAAAATTATTATTTGCTACCAATAAACACTCATATCCTGATACAATTTTCTTGGTATAATTGTTATAAATTAATTATACCGTATGATCGAAAAAAAATTGCGTCCAGTTGGCTGGGAAATGACGATCAATGACATTTCCCATATAAATTTACATATAAAATGACAGCGATCTTCATTTCATAGCCATCGTTGACGCCGTTTTTTCTCGATCATACGGTATATAACCAATTTTATTTATCCATATATTTATCCTTACACTAAAGATAAATAAGTATATACCTACTACCCTCCAAACAAAATTTTACATGGTTTACCATTTTATTGCAAGTTAATTATCAAAAGCGGGTGAGAAAAAATCGCCTGATTTCTTGATATCGCCCTGTGATTTTGTTATTGTTATTATAAACAAATTATACATTAATATTAGTCGAAAATAATCTACAAACATGATGTGTACCAAATACCTATACCAGCCGCCTCGGAACTTTCTAACACCTTAAAAAATGTAAAAAACTTTAAAATCTTCGGTTCATTTGTACTGATAATGATTTTATGAATGAAATGTGGGACTATTGAAATGTGTGTGGTCTATTTAAAGAATGCGGAAATATAAGTCAAGTGTCAAGTTCAGCTTTACTACAACTAGGACAGCGATCATTGTTATAAATCATGAATGAAGTTTAAATGTCCCTTATCCTTATAAGAAATATATTTTTGTATGGATATCTCCGCCTAAGATCCGTTCCATTAGAGCATACGTAATATAATAATGATTTTTAAAGCCAAAAATCTCCATTTCATGCACCAGTTATTGTTTATTTGTTATTATTATAACACGGGAACACAACGAAAGTTAATTTAATAAAAAACATGTCCAGAATAAATACAGCTTGCAAATCAGAATGAAAATGAAATGAGAAGGCAAAATAAATTAAAAACAAACTGTTATATACATAAGTGTACATTTATTTCACAACACATGACAAAAAAGTTTAAATAAGTTTTTTGTTTCAATTAAAAAAATAGGTGGTTAATCTATCTTATGTATTAAATATCACAACAACATACAACAACGTATGTTTTCTATAAGATTTAAAAATCATTTGAAGGGCGCCTTTACAAACTATATAATTTTCGAAGATACAATAATATACTGATTCTTACTATCAAAATAAAATAAGTGATATAGAGGCAACCCCAAAAACACCTAAAATACTAAATTCAGTCACCATTTTTATACAGCAGTCCATGTGAATATATATTTTAAAAATATACTAATATCAATTTATATTTAATGTTTTTTCCTGAATTTGGTATAAAAAGTTGAATATTTTTGTTATGTTTATTGTACTGTATGCATAAACATATATTTAAGAAATCTAAACTGATATTAGTTATTTTTACCAAAAACTAATCTAGTTTACTTATTTCTCAAATGTAAAAAATTAAAAATACAGGCATAAAGACACTAAAAAATAAAAATAAAAAAAGCATTCTACACTGAAATATGGTGAACACATTTGCTTGTGGTAGATATAATTTACAGACCTTGTTTATCATCATAATTGTACTTATTTTATTACTGATCACTGTAGACTTAACGTTAGGACCTATAATAAAATTGAAATTGTGTATTAAAAGAATACACATATTATAAAACCGCTAATCACAATATAGTTAAGTACAAAGGAATAATCTTACTAAAAAATTATTGATGCAGAGAGCCTAAATATCTAATATACATTGACCAATCATACTACCGTAATATCAGATTCTTCCTCCTCTTCAGGCATTCCATATGCAAGTAACTCTGCACCGGATAGTGAAGCTAGCGAATCGAAACTACTACCTAAAACTAAAAATATTTCTATTTTAAACTGACTATTTACTTATACAAAAACACTTACATTTGTAGCTTTTGAAAGGATTATTTAAGGACTCAGAAGTAAAAAACTGTGTATCTAATTGCAATGTTTCCAACTTAACGCCTGCTGTCATTGATTCATCTTCTAATACAGAAGGCGGCGGTTGAATCGGTGCAATAGTCGATTGTAAAATTTGAAATTGTCGAAGCTGAATATCCTGTATTGAAGGCATTATCTTTTGAGGCGATTCTAGTTCAGGTATATATGGCATGACCTTAAAAAAAATCTTTAGTCTCTATCATGTTGTAAAACAAAAAAAAAAAAAAGGAAAATACCTTATTCCCGTCGGGTCTGTGGGGATTCCTACAACCCCGACATTTACAGTCTATACAAGCTTTACTTTCAACGTAACAAGGACATCTCTGTCCACAACAAGTTAGTTTTCCAGGCGTGGCAGTGGCATTTCCGCATCTACAACCTTTCTTAGGTTTCGAACAAGGCTTTTTAAAAACAACCTAAAAGTATTTTATCATAATATATTTTACATAAAAAAAATATCAAGTCAGTCACCTTTTCTATATATTCCTTTGGTTTACTAGCGTTTACGTTATTAATATTATTAGGGCTATTTGTACTATCTTTTGATTTCCTCTTGATTGTAATTTTGTTGCCTGATCCGGGGTATACAACTGAATATAAGGAATTTCTATTTTGATTGTTTGACAATTCTACTCGAGGTTGTTGAGGTGGAACTGAAATATTCTGAGGACATACCGTGTTCGTATATATACACGGTAGAATTGAATACGTCGACTTAGGGATTCCCCCTTTGCTCTCATAATCATCCTGGAACATTGCTCCTTCTTTGATTAATTGAATCAAATTACTTGCTCCCCTCTCAAATCCCGTACCGGGCTGACTGGATTGAATGGTAATACATTTAAAAATTCGCGAGTTAATAAGGTTTACACACATTTTCTTGTACATTTGCATCAGTATCCTTAAACTTTTATTTTCGGTGTACTCTGTGCAATCCTTACAGCTTTCGCATTGCGGTTTTATCTTTTTCCGGCCTCCTTTACACCGTCTACATAAATGATGTTGACACTGAGCTTTACTAGGAGTTAAAGGTTCGACTAATAGCATCGAACACACGACGCAACACAACGAGTTTCGCAGATAAGGAACCAGCCTGTACAAATCCTGCCAGGACTGTGGATTTGCGGGATCCGATTTTAGTATTATTTGGGTTGTTGTTACATATAAATTTGTTGAATTCATCCTAGTTTGGGTTGAAGATTTTTCGATAGAAGTTGAAGACATATCTCTAGAAATTCGAGGTTAGAATTGCATAAAATTTTCTAACTAGACAAAAGTTGTTTGTCCATGCATATCTGAAGGTGGAGTATCACATACCAGTCGACAATTTGCAGTTTTCAACATCAACAAAACTTAAAATTTCGTTTTTAAAAAGACATGCCAAAATATTTTGATTCTTTCAAACAAAATATACAGCAGTATTGCCAACCCCTATAAATGCCTTGTTTATAATAAATTCATGCTGTAGCAATACGAATAAATAAGTTAGACAATGAGAATTAAGTTGTAAAATCACACAGGATTCCACAATTTCCAATTTTCGGCCTCAACAAAACTTAAAACTTTGTTTTTAAAAAGACGTGCCAAAATATTTGGATTTTTTAAACAAAATATAACAGTGTCACCAATCCTCAAAAGATAGGTATACAAATCTCTGGTATACAACTGGTATACAACCAGTATAAAACCATGTATAAAACCTTTGTTTATAACAAATTACGAATATGCTATAACAGTATAAATACATTTCATTTAGACAATGAGAATTGGTATTATAACTGTGTATTATAACAAAGAAAACAAAATTTTAAAATCATTTCAATCTTTTTAATTTTATGGATAATGATCAGATAAAGATCGATAGTTCAATAGAAAATGGCTTTACATCTGTGGTTGTCCTAGTCATATAAAAATAAATGTTCATTGGTGTCTTTGTTCTAATTAATTTATGCCACAGATCTATGCCCATATTATTAATTATCTATGATTTATGCCAAAACTTTGACAGAAATGGAAAGTTTGGTTAAAAAAAGGGGAGTTTATCTTTAATTATATATTTAAAATATTATAAATTTTAAAACTCCTTTCTGCTATACTACAATTACTATTCTAGCATTATTACAAATATGTCAAAATGTGGGAGCCATCCAGTTTAACTGAAAAAAAGTTCAATGCAGAGACACATCGTAACTATTTTTTTTAATTATTAATTTAGATCCAACAACTAATTTATTTTAGGGCTCGTTGGAGAAACGCAGTTGCACGAATTTGGAGAGTTTATTAAAAAGTTTACTCACGAAACGAAAGAAACTCAAAAGAAGTTTAATAATATTTTTAATATCTCGTCCAAGCCTATTTTTTTAAGTGTAATAAATAAAAACTTTATGAGAACTAGAATAATTTATTGCTAATATTTTTAGGAGGAAGTTAATGAAAGCATTTCAATTCTTCATCTTTCTCATTCAGACAATAAAACACTATCAAAAATATTATGTACGTTGGGTGCTATCTGCCAAGAAATTGAATTACTAAAAGGGGAAGCCAAAGATTTGTATCAACCATTCATTATTTATGTAGAAGGTAAGGTTTGCTCAAATCTCTTAATTTTTGTAATTTATTGATTGTTGTTTTGGGCTCCAGATAAAGATGAAAACTTGGAAACAATTAGCAACATTATTGAACCCTTGCTGAAAATTCAAAATTTTGTTAACCGGTCAAACCAGGTTATTAATTTAGTTCTAAAACAGCTTAGTAGCATATTAAAAAAGGGCTTTTACATATCCAATACTGCCCCTAGTTTTGTTGTATGTATTTTGACCCTATGTGTAATATGTTATAAAAAATATTTATTTTAGGAAGTATTAAGTCTATTTGCTGATTTATTAATATGTTTATTAAAGTTTACCACTATTTTGGATCAACAAGTTTTTAAGGAAAAATGGCTATACTATAGGCGAATTTTGCGTAATATGCTGCATAATAATAAGTATAATTTTAATGTAGAGGAACTAAGATCATTAGATAAAACTCTAGCAGTATTAGAATCAACCTTACTTTCAGGAACAATATTAAAAGTAAATATATTTTCATAAATGTAGTTTGAATATTGAAATTTATTATTTTAGGACTCCATAGACAAGTGCCTAGAAAGTAAATTAATATTAGATATAAAGAATTCTAGTTTAAATTTGGAATTTCAGAATTTTATATTATATAGAATTAATGAACTTGAAAAAGAAGAGGATATTAGATATGAAGAAATGTGGTTGCAACTGAATGTTATAATGGCGTTTTTCTGCAACATATTTGGTAACAATGACAAGAAAATTATTAAAAGACTGTTAGACTTAAATAAAAAAGTAAGAAAGAGTGTGTATATAATTTGATTTAAAATAACTATTATAACACTTTTCTACAGATATCAGCTTGCCCTTTAATAGGACATATTATGTGGTATCCAGAGCAATTTTTATTGAAACATGTACAATCAATGGCAAAATATTTAGATGAAAAAAATATTGAGAGTTATAGACTGAACTATATTAATACAACTGTCCAAAACTTTCCCAAGGACACTAACTTTTTTTGCTTACAGGTATAAGAATATTATTTTATGCTTCCCAGTTAAACTGGTGACATGTTTTAGGCCTGCTATTTTTTAATAGATTTAGAGAAGAAAATTAAAATCAATACAACTACACTAAAGCAGACACAATTGCAAGATATTAGTATATTATTTTTCGATATACTTAAGGTATTGAAGCAAATAAATTATGCTGTAACATGGACAATGAACATACATGTTGATAAAATGCTTCCTATAACTAAAACCATTCTCACATGTGTCTCGCATTTAATTGAAGTACTGAAAAGTGTTTATTTAGCTTTCAGAAAAAACATGCTATTAGTATGTTATTTAATTCTATTAATTTCACAACAGTTACAACATAAAGCCTTGTCAATTTTAGTTAGCTTAAAGGTTAGCAAATGATTTTTTTATTCGAATATCATTTTATTATTAGTTATTTTAGAGAAATCAAACACAAGATAAGTCATATAAAAATTTACAACTGGACATAATATCTGCTCTGAACGTTTGTGAAAATGCTTTGAAAGGTATTTTACACTTATTTTGTTTTGTAAATTGAATAAATATATTTTTATTTTTTTCAGGGCCTAATACAAAATGGAGAATACTAACAGTGAATTTAGCACTCTCAGCCAGTGGTTTAAGTGCAACCAGTTTGTCAGATATAAGACAAGTATTGGTGGAATTAGATATAATTTCAAGATATACAACATTAATTGAACAATTTTGTAACTGTTCATTTCTTTACTGGCATTTCAATTACATGCTCCCTGTGTATTGTACCAAATTACTATCTTCCAAACCTAATATCGCAAGACATTCAGTGAGCAGTAAGATTTTCTGAAAAAACACTAAATCAATTGACTTTACTTTTAGTTAATGTTGGAGGCATTGAGTGATTCTGAAATTCCAGACGGTGTCATTAACGTTATTTTAACAAGTCGCTTGTATAATCCTGTAAATCAAAGGATAGAAACTAACTTAAGATTGCAAACTCATTTACATTTACAATTACCGCCAAGTGATCCATTTCAAAATTACTCTGCTATGAATTTTCAAAAATATATGCTCGCACCCTTGAATGATTATTATAAAAGCATTAAAAATGAGACAGAGCATTATTTAAGTACAATGTTTTACAATTTAACCACTGTGGTATTGCATGATTGGAAAACTTATGGAGAGATGAGAAAGTAGGAACAATTTTTTTAAGAATAAAATCATAGAAATTAACATCGTAATTTTGTAGGCTTGCTAATTTTCAGTATGGTTTGGAGACAGTGGATGATGATTTACCGATGCAAACTCTCGATCAAGGACTGGATGTTCTTGAAATAATGCGAAATATCAACGTGTTTGTTCAAAAATACCTTTACAATTTAAATACCCAAGTATTTATTGAAGAATCCAGTAACAATAAACACCTTAATTCAATCAATATATCGCACGTGGCTAACTCAATTCGAACGCATGGTATAGGAATTATGAATACGACAGTGAACTACACCTATCAATTTTTAAAGAACAAATTTCGCATGTTCTCACAATTTCTTTTTGATGAACAGATTAAGTCTCGTTTGCTAAAAGATTTGCGATATTTTCTTGATCATAAAGATGAGTTCAATCAGATGTATCCATATGAGCAAGCGGACAAATTTAATACTGGAATTAGAAAACTGGGAACCCCAGATGGAGAAAGCTATTTGGATTTATTTAGGAAAGTTATAACACACATAGGTAAGACTTGTACTAAGTAATAGCACAGTAAACACCACACAGTGCCCTAATTTTTAACTGAGCTTTATATGTTCATTTTAAAATTGAAGATAAAATTGATTTACTTTTTAATTATATTATTTGTAATATTAAATTAATTCATAGTATAATATGTAACATATTATGTATGTATATTATATAGGGTGTGTCAGAAATAAGTTCAAGTATTTTAACTGGAGTATAGTTCGACCCCAGAAACATGCCCCGAATAGTAAACACTCTGCATAGAAAATAATTTATGTTATATCGCCAAATAAAGCAGATTGCTTATTCTGTTTCTGAATCAAATACAAGAGTGAGAAAGACTGAAAAAAAATTGTATAAAAATTTTCTAAAATTATTTTAGGCAGTGCAATGGGATATGTAAGATTAGTAAGATCTGGTGGTAACAGATGCCTTGCTGAAGGTACTTGCTTTATTCCCGATCTGACTCGAGTGAAAGAGTTAAAAGAAATGGTGGAGAATGAAAACCTATCTGATATGTCTAAAGAAGCAGTTGATTTTTTGATTAATAATTTGGAGGGTTTGACAGGAAATTTTGAAAATACGACAGAGTATTTTCAACTCTTGGTAAAAGGTTACGCGCCTCACTTTCGCAATCCTAACAACATCCACTTAAAAAATTTCTACGTTATTGTACCAGCCCTGACCATTAATTTTGTCGAACATTTGCTTTCTTGTAAAGAAAGATTATTTAAGAAGAATCAAGCCAACGATGCCTTTACTGATGACGGATTTGCTTTAGGTGAAATTCACGTCAAATACAGTATGATCGAAAAAAAACGGCGTCAAAGACGACTGTGGCAAGATCAATCTTAAACGTCATTTACTAAAAATTTACTACATAAAACTTTAAAACTAATTAAATTAAAACTAATTATAGAAAGACTAAAAAAAGATAGAACGCTTCCAGACACAATTCTATTTCCAAAACAATATTTTTCTGGAATTTTAAACTAGACCATTTAAAATTCATTTTTACTCAATATAAAAATAAATTACAACGTTCTTAAGCCAACTGGAAGTAATCTCATTGAAAATACCTTGCCTAAATTATTATCATTGTAATACCCCAGCCATTTTTGATGCCGTTTTTTTCGATCATATGGTATAAACATATGAATTTTAATTAACACAATTTTTTATACAGGTTTAGCTTATATCATAGAATTGCTCGACCAAGAAAATCGACTAAATTCACTGCACTGGTTTGAATCTGTCCAAAGAAAATTCAACAAAGAGTTGCTTTTAGTGAAAGAACAAATTTCTTCTTCCAACAATGATGACAACAAATTAAAACAAACTCTTAGTTTAACCGAAAAAAGAATAAATTCATTTAAAAAAGTAAGTAATTGATGATAATCATAATTTATTGACTAAATGACAATTTTACAGGAATTTAAATTATTGGAATACAGCTACAGCAGCGCAAGATTATTTTTTCAAACTTAATTTATCACAAGTTATATTTATCGTTTATCTGCTTTTATGTTATAGCATCTAATAATTATGTTATTTGTTATTATAAATAATTTTATTAACATTCCAATTATTGGTGGAATATAAATATTTATTTACGTTCAATAAAAAATGACTAATATTAAAAATGTACTTTTTATTTCATTCCATAACAAAGATGAATATAAAAATACACACCTTAAGAGAATAAAAGACAGATAAAACAAAATTATTGTTTATTTGGAGATCAATGTTATAAACTAAACAGGCGTTTGAACTCAATATATTTGTATTAAATATATATTTCATATCACCGGTAAAAAACAAATATCTATTCATATACAATTCTTTAAACATATTTTTTTAGTATGGATACTTTCATTTCCAAAACCTTTTTAATACTGAAAAATAAAATATAGTAGTTAATGTACAATCACAGTATTTTTAGAGACGATTAGTTATCCACAAAGAATTTTTTTTTTCGTCGTTTATTTTAATAAACATATAAATTCACAAAACGAAACAAGAAACAAACTTTAAATATATATAAAAAAATATAGAACTCTACAGAACGAAGAAAATCCATGAAATCCATGAATATTGTACGTTATGGTGATCAAAAAAGTTACACTCTAAAATTTACAGGGTGAGTCAAAGATAGAATAAAGTTCATTGTCTCAAAATTTTTGAGAATTAAGAAATAACTTTATACAGGGTGTTTCAAAAAACATGTGCTATCTCTCGTGGGAAGATTCCTTATGTAAAAATAAGATTTATTTTTTTATATCAACATAGATTCTTCTTTGTTTGTCCTACACAATTTATACAGGGTGAGTTTTTACGATGTCCTCTATGGGTATCTCAGAAACCACTGTGGCTACAGATTCGGTCAAATGCGGAAAGAATTGCAGTTTTGTGAGGAAAAACATATGCGCCTCTCGGATATTTGAAAAAGTTTATGGATTACTAGATATTAAAAAAAACAAATTTTGGCTATTCTAAAAATGCACTCTAATTCCATTATAATTTATTTTAGAGAAAAAGTTTTCAAAGTTGTAGATAATCACATGCTTAAAGAAATCTCTCTAAGAATTGGATAACTCAGTAATTTAAAAAAATATATATTATAGCTTATATCACCTAGAAATCTTTAAAAATGACGCTTCTTATGAAGTCGTGACCAACTATGGTTCCCATTAAAAAAAACCTATGTTTGTGTCATATGTCAAAAATGACAGATTTAAAAAAAAGGAACACAGTCTCATTAAGCATGTGATTATCTACAACTTTTATCTGAAAACTTTTTGTCTAAAATAGATTATAATGGAAATAGGGAGCATTAAAATAGCCGACATTTGTTTTTTCGTAAGCCATAAACTTTTTTAAAAATAGGAAAGGTGCATATTTTTGACCTCACAAAACTGCAATTTTTCCCATTTAACCTATCTCTATCTCCAGTAGTTTCTGAGATACCTATAGAGAACACCGTAGAAAAGTCGCCCTGTATATCGTAATTCTCAAAACACATGAAATGAGCTTAACTCTGTTGTCGACTGATCCTGTACATTATGTCATATATTATATACTGTCAAATAGACATTGATAAAACCGACTTTTCTGATCACTATTTGTCAACCAAGGAAAATATGTCACATAAATTTTTGGCATAGTTACTGACACTAAGCAAAAACGTTAAGTTAAGGATTGTGGATATGTATTTTTTCCTACAAAGAAAAATTTGTACTAAAATATTCGATCCACAAAATCCAAAGTTAGTGCAAGGGAAATACTTGTGTAATTTCTCCTATACCTTTCGCGGCACCGTCCCTAAATAATAATCGTTGTCCAACAGTAACATATTCAGAGTGATTTTGAAATTTGAATAAGACTGAATCGCGTTCGTTTGTATGGATACATTTCGACGAGCATATACCTATTATCACAGCAGTTTGTCGTACGTTACCTATGTGAACCGTTGTTTGGAAACCGGGATATATAGCGGTGGCATGAAATAAAACAGAAACATTCGCTTGGAAAAATAAGCAGCCGTAAGCGTTTTGATCGCGAGCCACTAAAACCATCCCGTTTCGTAAATTCGGTATGAAAGTGTTTAAGCAAATAGCTGCGCTTTGGCCCGCCCTAACCATTCGACATGGCACTCGATTTCTGTGAATGGACTTAACGAATATATCTTGGAAGGAGCCATCTTTCATTGGGCCTATCTTCATTGGTGTGCCCTCAGTAATCACGCCTTTAGATAGCAAACCACCTAAAATTTGGCCTAGTTCACCAGCTTTAAAATTTTCATCTATATGAAATTCTGGTGATTCCTACAAGTACAAATCATTTATGAATACTTTTACGTCATTTACATACAGGGTGATCCAGGCTTCAGAAAAAGCTCTATATTAGGTTTTTGGTTCGTGAATTTTTTTTACATAATATGGGGACAATGGTAACGCGCATTTTGAAAGTATTTTTATCAACATACAAGGTGATTTGAACATACTTTCAAACCAAAGTAGTATATTAACATTTAAAAATATACAACTTTCTTTTAAAAATATATTTGAATCACCCTGTATGTTGACAAAAACATATTCAAAATGTGTGTTATCACTAATGTTAATGTTACCATTGAAATGAAATTTACGAATCAAAAGCCTAATATACACCTTCTCCGGAAGCCTGAGTAATCACCCTGTAAAAAAACTTCTTACTTGCTCTAAACGTTCTTTTTCTTTGGAACTAACTCCTGGAGGAAGAACATACAAAAACTTAGTAAGCAACTCTAGACCATCTCCACTAACACTAGAGACACAAAATATAGGTACAACATTTTCAGTGAGCTGGTTTGCTCCTGCTGTTATAACATCATCTAAAGATTTAACAATCAATGGAACCCTCCTACTACCAACTTGTTTTAATAACGATTCAAGATTTTCTAATGTGTGTGATGGATTTACGAGGTCAATTTTGGTAATTACTATAAAAAATGGCAAGTTCAAAGCTACCGCAATAGCAAGGTGTTCATGTGTCATTCCAACAGCACCAGCTGTACTGGAAATCTAAAATATTTTTTGTTATTTTGGTTAACTTTAATTTAGTTTCAGAGATTGGGACATACCACAAGCATAGCATGATGAGGTGAGTACCCCGACAATCCTTGAATTGTTGTTCTAATATATTTTTTATATCCTGCCAAATCTAAAAATGTGACAAGTTTTGTTGAACTGTCGCAAATTTCTTCAGCTGTGATCAGTTCACTAGAACTATAATTTATGGGTTGTCCTTGGGAATTAAATCCTAGAATTTCGTGAGATATTGAGGACGTCCTGCCTGATTGGATTTCATGCAGGTGGCGGAACATGTTGAGCCTTGCTCTGCCACGTCCATTATCAAGATTGCCTTGGGTTAAAACACCTAACAATGTACTTTTTCCAGCATCTAAAAATAAAATGATAGTAATCCAAACTTGGACAACAAAAATTATAAAATATACCAGCATTTCCAAGTACAGCTATCCTAATCTCAATATTATTTTGATCATCAGGCACTTTTCGGACTAACACTTCAGCAATGCTTCGTGAATTATCAAGAACTCGTTCTCTTAGTAATGTTGTAGTGGCTCCAAGTTTGGTGGCCATCTGTTTTAAGGTTTGTAAACTAGCTGTCATGTCTCTTTTAGAAAGCCCTGTTAAAATTCCACTATCTTCGACTCCAATTTCATAAATAGCTTCACCATTTCCTTCACGTAAACGCCATTTGAGCTGAAAATAGAACTTTGTGCTTATTTATCTATAATAATAATCTTATTTATCTTTGTGCTTATTTATTATTTTATCTATACCTTAACATATGGTATGATATAAAAATGATGCAAAAGACAAAATTTGTTAAGTAATAATTAGTAAAATAGGAAAATTCTAATATATAATTACCTGAGTAACAAGATGCTCAAATCTCTGTTTAGTTGGATTAACAATTTTCAGTTTATATTCTATATTACCGAGCTGAGGTTCTGGAGGTAATGCATTTTGATTATTATCAAGTGTAAAATCCTCAGCAATTGGACAATCATTACCATTACTTGGATCAAATAAGCTAAAAAACGAATCCATTTCGAGGCCTAAAATTAAATAATAATATATCAAAAAACCTTTAGTCAAAGCATATTGAGAGTTTGGCACCAAATATTACCGTAATACACCTAATGTTATGAAATAAAGTGAAAGTCAAAACTGTTGTTGTTTGGAAGACATTGACTGTATCTTCAGTATTTAATATTAAATTAAAAGATCTTGATTATATAAAAATAGTAATTTAAAATTACAAAGAACAAAAACAAAAACACTTTAGTTGCCAAAAATATCATAGAGATAAGTAATTTTACCTTTATATTGCAATATCCGTACTACAAATCTTCTTATATAGTCTGCATATATAGAAAGTTAAGAAAGAATATTTCTTTAAAACACTTGTAGTATTAAATGGTCTGATATCTCATACATTCTCATCACAGATTATAAAAATAACTCACTATAAACAATTCATATTTTGTATTGCAAATTTCTGAGTAGGAAGACGTTGACAAGTTTGATGGATCTTAGGATAAGGAAATCTGTGAAAAATATCAAATGTTCTGCCATCTATTAATGCAAATATGAACAAATAATAATTAAAAATAAAAAAATATACATATATATGTATAATATCTATCCATTAATTTTAATAGATATTTTTGATATAATATAAAATTATAACATACTTACATATAGTTATTATTATTTTTAACATATAGTTATTTTATCTATATCATAGTAGTGTCACGGGTAGTGTCCTGCTATATCAGCGTTCAAATTTCTTGACAAGCTAGTGAAGGCGAGTTTAAATTAACAGGAAACGATTCAGGACCAACACAAGGAAAACAAATTACAAATCGGTTCAAAATTTGGTATTCCTTTTTCTTATAATAATATATAAGCGAGTAATGGCAGTAATAACACAATACATACATACATACATAGGAGTGCAAGGGGAGTGCAACAACACAAGGGCACTACTTGAAAACTCCTTATTCTCACATTGAAAAATACGGTGTTAATTTAATAAAAAAATTAAATGTATCTTTGTCATTATTAAAATAGCACTTAACACATAATATGACTGAATGTGGAATCGAGCCAGTGAATTATAAGTAATTGAGTATCTTGTACCAATGAGAAATATGGTTAAATAAAAAAATTGTAGTGCGTTCATTAGAACACAATATATAATTTTCATATTAAAGAAAATCATATCTCTTATTTATACTTATTTTTACGACTCACCTGTAAGTAAACTGCTGGTTGGATCAAGAACATATATCCAATAACGATATATTCATGTTGACTGCTACATGTTGTACCGTATGATCGAAAAAAAAACGGAGCCATTGCAGTTGGCTGGGAAATGACGGTCGATAACATTTCCCAAATTTACAATACAATGACAGCGATCTTCATTTCACAGCCATCGCTGACGCCGTTTTTTTTTCGATCATATACGGTATATATCTTGCAGAGATTTTGACCACAATAGATTTAAAAAGGTCGGAGTGGAACAGGCCGATAGCCACCTCGACCTCTGCCTCGACCCTGCTAAGAAAAAAAAAATTTTAGAAGAGTTATAAATATCTATAAAATAAAAGTATTAGTCATGAAAAATCATTTGATTATGTGAAAAGAAAAAAAAATATAATTAAAAAGACTAACGATATAATATGGTTAGAAAGTCTTATGATCTAAGGATGCTTTAAATGACAAAGTCTAAGCTTCCTTAATCGTAAACCCTTTTGGTGCTTTGGTATAGTGAATATAATGATGTTTACTCACTTGAAAATCAACGTAAAATGGCAATTGCTTCTTTATGTTACACTATATATACTATATCATTCCCAATATCGCTAATATGAGAAACGAATGCACCAGCACTCGCGTCCCGATACTCAAAAAATTCCGACACAGAATACACCTGGCTGAAGCGAGCATGCCCCCAAATGAAAATCTCCAAAGACAAAAATTTGGGATAGCACAGTTCAGGGTTTATATTTTTAGGTTTTTCCAAGTTTAACATGACCCCAAGATCATGATAAACTTATCCTTATTCAAATTCAAAACGCTCATACCTGGTCGCGGGGCGTGCGTGACAAAAATATATGCGAATATAGCGATACTCGAGATTCTATGTATTCTAAAATATAGACTAATAAATTATCTACACTTTTCAATTGAATTTAGAAAACGTTACTACGTTTTAATATAGAAAACTCAAAAGCAATTAAATTTTCAAACGTTGGCGTTGATTTGAAAGAAATGAAAGGAAAAGGACGCTATAAACTTCAAGATGGCGACCTCAATCGGAAAACAAACGAATTACTGTCACAAGCGACAATCTAAGCAAGCGACCTTTACCGGAAAAATGGTAATTGTAGTAAAACAGAAATAATTTATGCATAAAAAGAATAAAATGTGTAAATATGTAATAATTTATTTACTAATTAGATTCATACGCAATGAATATAACAATATATGACAACTCTGCAGAAATTTTAAAGGTATGCAACTAACAATTCATGTTCCATCGCTTACCCTGGAAAACATAAATAGTTTTTATTTATTGTGTATGAATTACCCTAATTAGTAAATAGGTAATTACCAGTAAATAAATTAATACATTATTTAATTTTATATTGCATATTTACACATTTTATTCTTTTTATACATAAATTATTTCTGGTTTTCTACAATTTAGCGGTGGCCATGGCCAAACTACTAAGTTTCCGGTAGAGGTCGCCTGTCAAAGTAATTCATTTGTTTTCCGATCGAGGTTGCCATGTACATGAAATACACATGTTACATGAAATACACATGTACAACATGTTGCCATGTTGATGAAATTGTCATGTCTATGTCATGTCTATGTAGTAACACTCAGAAAATTCAATTGAAAAGATAGATAATTTATTAGTCTATACTTTAGAATACACAGAATCTCGAGTATCGCTATATTATATAAATATTTCCTATTCTATCTTTTAATACACATTACTTGAAAACTAAAAAACAGAGTATATTTTTTGTTGAAAACTGACACAAATGTAATCGGGAGATTAATATATTTAACAGAAATTGATATTTAAAATGTAATTCTAACTAGCTTGACAAACAATGTCTTCTCTGGGCCGAAATCAACAAAAACTCTTATATTCAACTGTTTCCAAAGCCTACTACTCCGCTACTCGCCAACATCAGCGGACACGGGGTGCAGGCAGGTGCAGGCACGGCGTGAAAATGACTGCCTATCGTAAGGATCATAGGCGTCGATAACACAAAATTATTTCAACCCATAAAAATTGTTATAATAATATTTGTATAGAGGGTGTTTCGCAAAACATGTGCTATCTCAGGTAAAAATGAGATATATTATTTTTTTATATCAACATATGGGTCCGATTCTGCTTTGAAGCTACAGGGGGTTAAAATCTTATTTTTTTTTTCGATTTATTATAATTTTCTTCCAAGTGCTTTTAGCGATTCGAATGAAATACTATTTCTAAATACTATACTAAGTGCGACATGCTTTGATGAAAAAAAAATTATCGACATATTCAACAGGGACGCGCATATGAATTTCTACGTTAACAACCTATGGAAAAAAGTGAGTAACGCGCACAGGTTTTTTTATAGACAAAATATTCCAGTGATAACCTATATGCACGTCCCTGGTAAAACCGTCGACACAGTTTAAGACCAACCACCTGTATCTGTTATAAGAAATAAATCTTATTTTTATGTGAGGAATCTCGCCACGAGAGATATGGCACATGTTGTATAACCAAAATATATAGCACCCTGTATAACCAAAATACTATTATTGAATTCTATTGTAGCTCTGGTCCTGGATTTTATTTTTAATAAAATTAAGTTATACTGCAGATTTTATTTTTTTTAAGAAATAAATAGCTTATTCTTATTAGTATATTCCAGATTTATTTTTTATGAAATGAATATCAATAATTATATAAACTCAGAGTTTACATAGTTATATTTATAACAACAAAAACATCATTTTTATTTTAAAAATATATTTATTTTCAAACATTCATTGCAACATTCAATACATATTCCCAAATGCAGATCATTTTATTCATAGTCGAAATGTAAGATAGAGACGAGAATCAATTTTGTTTTAATATTATTACATTACTATCAGTTATTATTTTTTTGCAAAATTAATGCAAGAAACAATTATTATAGTGTCACAAATAAAGAACATTTACCATTTAGTTAAAACATTTTCCGAAACTTTATATTCTGTTACAATTTTTTTATAATTCTTTTTCACAAATCTGTATTGAAAACATTTAACTACCACAACATATACATATGATACCATTTTTATCAAGAGAACTTCGAACGTTGACAATTCTTTTGGAAAACTACTTCAGAATGTATTTAGATGTGAACATTCAAAGCTAGCTCGATATTAAAATTTTTTGATTGTATGGTACTTTGTCTCTAATGGATATGGATACACAACATTTTCCTACAATACTATTTAAGGCAAGTTTTTTAGATAGAATTCATTGATCTACGCTTTACCGTTGTATTTTTTTAAATAATATTATGTATTTATTTAGATAAATATTGCACAAAAGACAAAACTATTAAAAATCGTAAGGGGGTAATTAGAAAGGGATACTAATAATAAATAACATCACTCATATAAGTTAAAATCACTCTTTAAAATGTACATATTCAAAAAATTAAAGTATATACAAAAATATCTGAAAACAATTTCGAAAAACACGCAAAGTAAATTCCAGATATACAAGGTGAGTCGGAGTATAAAAATTGAAAAAAAAAATTAACAAAGTTAATACCAAGAGAATAAAGGTATAAAATGGATCACAATATAAAAGACGAATTTAGAAAGAATTAAAACTCAATTTACAAGGGAGGCAAGTTGAGCGATAGTATGTTCTTGAGCAAGTGCTGCCAATTCCTTGACCCACTCGTCAAGAAGTACCGCACAAAGAGCCACATGTTGTCCCTCATTGAATTTTGGGTAAATTAAATTAAATTGTACCTCCTGGGGAGAGGTCACCACTGGTATACTTGTGTCGATCTGGTTTGACCTCCCTACAAATATACTAGTTATCGAAGGAAAATTCAAACTGCGTCTCTTGGGGCCGTTCCTCTGAAACGGTTCATTAGATTCTTGCGGTTGTGGTTTTGGGACAGCCTTTTTCTCCATGTGGTACCTTCAAACAAATAAAAAAATTAAATATTTAATTTATTATGAGTTTGTATCAATATGTACCTTCGTATATTTACCAACATGATTTCCCTGTCAACTAAAACATCTTGAGCATACTTAATCAATTCTGCTTTGTCTGGCTGCCTAGTCATGTAGTCATCTATTTGCTGTTTAATAATGCCAATTATCTCAAATATGGATGGAACATTTGGTTGGAGCACCAAACTGTAGTCAAGTAGATAGGCCCTTAATAAATTCTGAGGATAAACAGCTAGTCTGGATATTAGTCCAGTTAAATGTAAATTAATGTAAATGGAATTTGACAAAAAATTTCTTAGTTTTTCCAACAAAATTGTTAAGAATGGTCCTGCACTAGGAGACTCCTCTAAATGTGTATTGTCATCCAATGTAAATGTGATATTTGGTCTTTTAGGTTTGTTTGAAGATATTTGCCAAAATTCTTGGTCATCCATATTCATGCTGAAACTCTCATAACCACTACTCCTTTCTAACGATATTAAACTATCAGATTTTTCTTCTGAAATTAATATATAGAAATTTACGAAAAATATAAAACATTCTTCTGAATTTACCTGAATTTCCAGAAATTTCATCATCTCCATTGTATGTATTATTCCAACTTAAGCATGCTCTTTGACATTGCGAAATCTTATGCCTAGCATCACATAAATATGCATAGTATTTTCCATATAAGCTTTGTTTATGTTTAAAATGATTCCACTGTACAAAGTTTCCATCTATGGTAATATCATCACATAATTGACAACAATTTGGAGCTAAAAGTAGCAGTTTCTCAAAACTTGGGCATAATGGATCTAAGGGAAGTAACATTTTCCTTTGTGATATCATTAAATGAAAGCAAGGCTGGAATATAAATTAAATCAGTGGAACTGATAATTATTATATGACACACAAATTTACCTGCAGATATTTGAAAACTAGTTCCAATAATAAGTCTTCGCAGTTTAAATCAATCATACTTTCAAACACAGCAAGTGATACTAAACATAACTGTTTTTCAGAGTTAATTCTTTGTATTAAGATGTTTAACAACCTTTCCCCATCATATTCAACTTTCAATAAAAACTGTAATACTGCATGCAGTAGACCTGGTTCAGTAACAGTTCTTATAATTAGTTCCAAATATGCTGTGGCTGCCACTTGCTCCTGTATGTTACTTTGCATCAATGCCTCGCCTAATACTGGTATTAAAAATCCTTTGTATAAAAAATCTTGGAGTTGCCGTCTTATTACAGGATGTGCAACTTGAGCTATTGCATTGCTAAACTCCAAGGAAGTCACAAATGACAGCAAACCTTTTATCTCATTGACATCATCGGGTGTAAAACAATGCCAGTCAGGTACACCTTAAAATGGTTAAAAGTTGATTTCTTGTCGTAATGTAAATATTAGACCAGGGTTGGCATGATTTAAATCAAGTGATTTATTTATTTTAATGTGATTTAAATTAAAAAAATTAACTTTTTTAAAACTTTACAATAAATCGAAAAATAACTGTAAAAGTTATAATGTGTTCTAGAAAACTACAAAAATATTTTTATAACAGATGTACCCTATATCTATTCATCAAATAGAATTTTACACTTCCTCTTGTAAACATATATTTTTGTACTTTTATTAAACATATGTATATTTTTTGAAGCCAGTGATTTTTTTGCTGACGGATGTGGAAAAATGACACGCGCCGTAGAATTGTTAATGTTATCGGTATTGGGCAGAGCTACAAAGATTTGGCTATTTAGGATAGGAATTTACTTGAAAATAAGTCTGTCCACCCTTATTTGGAAAACCGATCTAAATAACGTTTTCTATTAAAATTAAAAAATCTGATTTAAATCATTAAAATATGACTTTTTTTAAATCATTGTTTTTGTCAACCCTGTATTAGAATATACCTATATCATCAATGACATTGGGTAAAACAGAATATAAGCCACCAAGGCCAGAAGCAACAAGGACTGAGAAGTCTGAATGTTCTGATATGTAGATTTCAACATCTTTATCCTTTTTTGAAAGTGATATGCAAAGGAGTAGTGCATCTCTAGCTCTCATTCCTATTGAGTCTTCTTTATGTACAAAGGGTACAAGTAAAGAAAAAATAGTAAACCTTAAATGCACATTAATTTTAGGATTGTTATCTATATAAAATATAGCAAGCTATCTCTTTATTAAAAGATTAAAATATTAGTCAGAAATTGATAAATATAAAACTAGTCTCTCTCACCTGTTAACATTTTTATCTCTGACAAAAAACAATTTTATATACTCTGGATGTTGTACTAGCAAAGTACTTATTTGATTTAAAAGATCAACTAAAATTTTTTCTACTTCTTTAGTAAATACTTCGCCATAACAAGAATTTAATAACTTCAACATAGGCTTAACAAAAGAATTTTGCTCTAACAACAAATGTCTTGACTGGCTTATTAATGTATCATATAGTTTTAATTGTTCACATCGTACTGTATTTTTGTATCTAAAATGGGAATATTAAAACAGATTTGTTTAAGTAAAAATAAATTTAAAACATACTTGCCACATTTCATACTCCATTCAAACAATTTATCCAGAATATTTTCAACCAAGAGATATTCCAAACATTTGGAAGAATTCACTGTCAAACATAATCGATCAGTTTTTTTCATATCATAAATTAATAATGTAACCATTTGCTCCAAATGAATAACAACTCCCAGCACATCATCATGGCTAGGCAGTTGCTGCAATAAATTATCAAATTCTGAGACTATAGACCAATTAAAATACTCAATAATAATTAATAAACATACAGATGGTGACAGAACTAACAATACTTTAATATGAAACATGATTCAGTTTCACCATGGTGATTATGGCAAAAAATATACTCTGTTATTATGTATTGTTAGTGAATATATTAATTACCTGTACTCGTTGCAATATTTTTAGGGCTTGATCCCAATGCCCTTTGAAACTATCATAACAAGCTTGAGAATCGCATTCTTCGTCAGGATTTATAGTAATTCGATTATTCTTTTGGAAAAAAGGATTATTTCTCAGCCACCATTCCATAATATTTGAATTAATTTCAATTTACAACATTTTACGTATTAGAAATTTGTTTTTATCTTTTAATGCAAAATTTATTCATCTCACATCGTAACCCACACTTTTGACAATAATAGTTGACAATTGTTGACAAATGACATCAAAATTGGAGACATCTCAAACGTCACATTTAAAGGCATGGCTTATTTGACATTGGGCGATTTAAATTTTAAGGCATTTATAAGAAGATCGTACGAGAATATTAGTAGGGTTTTATGCACTGTCTAAAAAGTCCCCCATTACGTTTATTGTTAATTATTAACGTTTTTAAGTACTTTAAAAAGTTAAAGACCAAAATAGAATATAATTTAAAAATAGAATCAGATCAATGCGTTTTCAATCAAACATTTCCCTCCATTTTGCAGCGCCATCTAACAGTGTTGGGCATCTTTGTTTTGATTGTGGTTGTGGTGTTTAATTTTTCAGAAACACTGGCGAATTTTCGTGGAAAATAATGTACACCCCCAAAAGAAATAAACCATCCTCAAATAGTGATAGTGAAACAGTAGTGACCCCGAGTAATAAAATTTTAAAAGCGTCGAGTTATAATAACGGAGACAAAGCGTTCGAAAATGGTAGCCCAAGCTTAGGTGAAAAGACTGTTATTTCCCCAGGCGAAGCCCGTAGAGGAAGACCAAGGGCTGATCTGTTAAATTCGTTAATTTTAGAAGGCGCTACTTCCCCAAGTTCCATAAAATGTACATATTGCAATAGAGTTTTCCCAAGAGAAAAGTCACTTCAAGCTCATTTAAGAACCCATACAGGTGAGGACATCTTGAACTTTAAATACTGCCGTTATTTAAATTCCTTCTGGTGATTTTACATTTTCCCTTTAGAAATGCTCAGAATGGGTTTAAATTTTAAATAGTAAATGTTAAACAAGCCAGGTTTAGTTTATTTTTAAATGTATAGTATATTCTTAAAACTTGTATGAGTTTGGTTAAGGTGTGTGGCCTTTAATTTTACATTTAAAAGTCACTGTACCTTGAAATCTTGAAAGTTAATCAACAATTGGTCAAGCTTCTTTCCTAGCCGTGTGTACTATACACATGCAAATATTTTGTTATAGTTTTAAAAATAACGTCTATCAAAATTATTAATCATTAATTTTTATTTGATATTTTTTTTATTATTTTAATGCACTTTAAATACTTGAAGTATTTAAATCATTATTGTTATGTTCATCATGGATATGTTTAAGCGATTTGTTAATTTTATCCTAATTTTGATTCTGAGAAGCTGGGATTTTTTATAATAATTTATTTTATATGAAAATTTTATGCAGTTGGAATATATGTATATTCTAATTTTAGGGGAAAAGCCTTATGCATGTGATTATCCCCGTTGTACTCGTAAGTTTGCCCAATCAGGTCAGTTAAAGACCCATCAGAGACTTCATACAGGAGAAAAACCTTTCATTTGTGCTGCTCCAAATTGTACTAAAAAGTTCACACATTCTAACCGGCATTGTCCAGATCATCCCGAATATACCTTAAAGAGATTCATTACTAAACCAAAACTTACACTTGACAAAACTTACGATGAAACACATAGTGCTGAAGTAAGACAATGGCTACAAAATTATGATAGGTACGATGTTCTTTTAATAAAGATTGAATAAAGTTTATAACTATATTGTATTTTAATTTTTACCTCCTAGAATATTTAATTGAATATATTGGTCATTTTAGGAAAAATAAGAATTTCTTAAAATCCAATGAGAATCTAGATACAACCCCCAAAAAATCAATTGTGTTCAAGAATGAAGATTCAGTATTTAGCAGTGGCAGTTCTGCATATTATTCAGGCTGTTCACAGACAGGTCTGGATGACATGGAAAATTCACCTAAATCCGAATTGGAAGATCTAGAAACATCAACTTGTAGTAATTCAGGAGGATCAGAAAATGAGATGTGTGCAGGTAATTTTTCAATCTTTTTTGAAAAATTCTGTTTTCAAAGATAAAATACTCAGAAATAATATATACAAGTATTATTGGAAATTATGGTTTTTAGAATCGCCTCAAACTAAGCCGTCTGAGTTGCCAAAGAAACGGTGGTTGCGTGAAGCTACACAAGATCAAAGATTGTGGGATTCTTCCACAGATTTGGCTTCTCCACTAAATTGGGGCGACGATTCATGTAATGATGGTGAAGAAAACAAGATGTCAGATGTAAATGACACAGAAAATAAAAATCAGCAACAACGCCCCTCTGTACTAGTTTGTGTTCAGGGTGGTAAGCTTTCCAGTAACTTATTGTAGCAAAAGTTGTGATATTATTTTTTTTGTAGGAAAAAGCAAAGAAATTTCAAGCGATGAAATTCAAGGAGCCATGGCCTTGGTGGAATTGAAAAATGGACTAAACTATAGCTATAGGATATAACATTAATGTATCATTGTGTACTCTTCGTCAGGTAGTTTTGTAAAGGAAGTATTTGTTGTAGTCCCCGTTTTAGTTACTGATTTTGGAAAATGATTTCAATTGTATAGTATTTTCAGGGACGTTTAGTGCGATATTTGCAGGTTCACCTATAGGACATAGGAGGTAGTAAGAAAGTTCATAAAAAAATAGCTACATTGCGTTTTAATTGTCTGTTGTTTATTTTTATTTCACTTTGTGGCGTATCAGGTAAAACCTTACAAGACAATTACTTATAGTATTCATACCATACATTTAAAAGTTTTTTACTACCTCCAATAGGTAAGCATGCCGGTATGGTACTAAATAAGTCTGAAAACTCGGTACATTTAAAATATAGGCATATGTACTTAGGATATATTTGAGATAAAGACTTCTACTATCATCCTCAAACATTTTCATTTTATGCTTTGTATTTGTTTACATAATTGTCAGTATGCATCTTTGTCTGGGTGCATGCTGCTTTTTTATTGTTAGAATTCAGGTGTCATTTTCCAAAATTCAATATTGGTGCTTTCCCTATGTTTCAGATTTAATTGTATTCAAAAAATGTTTTGCTCCGATTGGGCTTAGTTTAGAATATATTTATACAAGATGTACCATAAAGTGTTCTCATCATTTTTTTTTCGATATTTCATCACCTAACAAAGACCATTTTTGGACACTGAAGTAATTCTGCATATTTTTTTCATTTCATTACTCAAAATTAAATTTAAAAAATCCCCTTATTTTTTGGCACATCTTGTATAAGCACCTAAAATGTAAAATTGAAAGCTTTGTGATAAAAGTATTTATTTTGTCATGTTATTTTTGTTATGACTTCGAAAGATTTTAACAGAGTTTTTTATGTGTGACAGGCTTGCTGTTTATTTCTAATTTGTAGTGTCTATTAAACTGGTAATTGGAACACTATTTTAACATTTAAAGGGTATTTTTAAAGCATTATATAGTTTAGTATTTTATTAATTACCAGTATGCCTTATGGTTAAATTTACAGTTTGTAACTTTAAGATATTATATGCCTGAAATATTATAATTTTTTAACTTAAATTATTTTTACTGATTGTGCTACTAAAATGGTACCGAATGCGATTTAGTTAAGACTTCTTAAATTTAACCTAAGGTGAGGAATCCTGATTTGTTTACAGTGTTTAAGCTCGACAGTGTAGATGTAATACTAATTTTTATTTATTTTAAATGTTAAATAATAATTTTTTGAATATAACTTGTTCAACTAACGTTTTTTTACTGCCTTGGGTATGATTTAAAACAAATTAGAACAAGTACTTTAAATTTTATTTTCACTTTTTATTTTTCACAACATAATGTAGTCTAAATAATTGCATTTCAACGACAGTACATTTATAAGTGTATTCAGGTGTAATATACAAGTTTATTTTAACTCTTCATGCTGAAAACAAAATACACACTATTATAAAAGTAAACTACCAAATACGAATAAAAAAAACAACAAATAAATGTTTTAAAGGTGCCTAACATTAACATCACTACTTAATAAGTGCCAAAATATTTTTCATTTGACACTGAAGTTTTATTAGTAATATATATTGAATAAAAGTTGTAAATTTGTTAAAGAAGTGTATAATCTTATATATATAAATTTGTAAACGTCCATCAGAAAGTTGTACTTATCTACTAGATAATAATTTAATATTTTTTCATGTAATTCTCATAATTTTTAAAGTTTTCTGAACAAAGACTGCTGGCATATATATAATTATCAAACAAAAAATATATAGAAAATGTATGTGTTAATTTACAAAACATAAATACAAATTAATATTTAAATATATTTACAAAAAAAATCAATCTAGTATATACACAAGATAATTAGTTACTATATAAATGTAGTATCCTATATAAATGTTACAAAACCTATTTTCCCCACAGAAAAAGAAAAGTGTCTTTGAATATCTTAAAAGACTAAATCAGCTCAATTCATTTCTAAACACAACTAAATTTAACACCATCGTCACTAGAATAACAATTGTGGCAGTGAAGTTTCTGGTTACGGACTCTTACATCTGTTCCCATACGACCATCACCTAACTGAATGTGACAAACGCAACATTTGAAACATTCCATATGATAGAACAGACATAAGCTCTCTATTATCATCGCTGCTCCTCTACCCAGTTCATTGCTGCAATACGAACATTTCTTTTTGCCACTAACACTGAGCATTCTATCTTGAAGATTCTCATCTGTAGCTGGCTGTGAAAATGGAACTGATGGCAACAAGTGGTTGGAGTATGAAGAGTGATGGTTGAAATCCTTGTGGACAGCTATTTCGGGTCTACTGAAAAAAATACCAGAATTTTTTTTAAAAAAAGTTTCAATAAAATGGCGAATGCGCCAGGAACTTATGTACATAATTTAATAATCATTGTTAATGTGATTATAAAATAATAACATCAAGAAACCGAATTATTAGTGATCAGAGAATAAGTCTGATTACGTTTCGTACTAAAATAAAAATAGTCATTATATTGGCCGTCTGAGAAAAATAATTGGGTACATGAAAAATTCAGCCCAATACAGGAATTACAAAAACAAAAACCTTTTAGTACATATCGTAGCGTATATATATGGAAATGGCTTTAAACAGACTTGAAAAACCAGTCAGAAAATTTTACTTAGCTATGTAAATGCTGGAAACCCTGCTAGAGTACTCATGATTTTTATGGGGGCTATTATAATCATGGTACTGACTGATAAGGAATACTGGTAGTTCGAAAAAACTAAAAAAGAATATAAAATTCAATTAACACAAAACGCGTTTTAGCAAGTCTAGGATGCACAGCTTGCAGAAGCATATTTCATAAACAATTAAGCACAATATGATCGAAAAAAAACGGCGTGATATGAAATGAAGATCAATGAAGATCGCTGTCATTTTATATGTAAAAATTATATGGGGAATGCAAATACGTTTAAAATAAAGTATACGGAGGGTACCGCTTAAATTCCTGTCCCCATGTTGAAGGATGGCTATAGAATTTCAATGCATTTCCTACACAAGTCTATCCTTGTGTTGTAGGAGGTTTGACTAAACAAGGATGAACCTATGTCTTGAAACCATTGGACTCGATTTTCTGTCCATCAATACTGGGACGTAAATCCTCTCATTGCTCTTATGGGGAGGCCGTCGTATATTTTTATTTAAACGTATTTGGGGGAATGTCATCAAGCCAAGTCATTTCCAAGCCAGCTGGATGCCGTTTTTTTTTAGATCATACGATATTTTGGTGAATATACATAACGAATAAATTGATATTAAAAATTGGTGGCAAATAGTGATTTAAGAATATAATAAAAAAAATAGGTTAGTCCGTCTAATATTTAGTTTGGCCTTTACAATTAATATGAATTTTCTTCTCTGTATATTACTTTGTATTAAATAAATCCCAACGAAATAAAAATATATATTTTAGCAGTGGCGTGGTTAGAAATATTACAGCCGGGGGCAAAACTGTTATTATTAATATAAATTTATGATGTGATGCGTGATGTAGAAAAGAGAAGGGCATTTTTAATGCATTAAATTATAGTTTAGTACTTTATTCACTACCAATATGGCTTAAATATACAGTCTGAAACTTTAAGATATATTATATGCCTGAGAAATAATATTGTAATTTTTTAACTTGAATTATTTTTACTGGTTGTGCTACTAAAATGGTACCAAATGCGATATAGTTAAGACTAAAATGTTTAACTAGGTATATATATATAGTTTATTTACGTGATGTAGAAAAGTAAAAATATTTTGTTTGATATATCTAAAACAGCACGACAACCAAAAAATGACAGAAAATACAATCTACTTTTGAATTAAAGCGATAAATAGTTTTACTCAACCTATTTACTTTTATAATATATAAAAAAAAACTGTATTTAGGTATAATAGTATTCAGAGGGATATTAATGTTATATGGCCTTAGAAACAAATAACATACCTTTTCAAGGGCTGATTTCTTTCGTTAAGGCTGTTCCTATTTTGCACCCTTTGCGTGATGGTGTTAATGATAGCATCAGGCAAGGGCTTGTCTTGTCTCTGCTGCCAACTGTTTCTGGTAGATGCAGCTTTTTGTTGTTGATCCGTTATTCGCCTTAACTCAGCTTCCTAAATTGCATTAAAAATACAAGTAGTAATAATGCCGACATTTCAGGGATCAAGAGTTGATTTTTTGGCAGTGCAATGTCCAATGTAATAACGATTAATGGACATAATAAAATATTTTAAAAAAATTAGAATATTACACTGATATACACAAAGTTTGAACTGGTTTAATATTAATGCTTAACTGCAAACAAAGCTTCTTATAAAAGAAAGAAACAACGTACCTGAAAAACCCAATGCTTGTTGTAGCTTTTCACTTCAGGATTGGCTTTAGGGGTTATCCAGTTATCCGTATGTCTGCTACGAGGTACAGCACTCAGAGCTTTCAAACTTGGTTTGGTTAAAATCCTTGGTTTGGGAGCCTGGATCGGTCTGGCAGGTTTAGGAACGTTAGTTCTTGCCATAGGCTGGGGAGCAATAAATGCTGACCTTTTTGATTCCTGTTGCAGATCTGGCATAGATTTCCTGTGATCTATCGCAAGCAGATTGTTGCTTACAAACCCTGTTGACTGATAAGCGTGTTGTATATCTGGCATTGACTGTCTGTAGGGTAGTTGATCAGAATTTTCGTAATAAGCTGAAGGTACATCACTGATTGATTTTCTGTATTCTACATTGACGTGTTGAAGTTCAGGCATCGACTTTCTGTAGTCGCTGTTGTACGAAGGGTATATATCGTCGCAAATGTTTTCTAAAGAGTGTCTGTTAGCTTGAAGGCGAGCTCTGTTCCGACTTTCCCTAAATAGTAAATTTTCGCGTTGTCTTTGCAACTCCTCGCGTTCCAACTGCCTTAATTCGTGCTCGACCTTAAGAACTTCAGAATCTTGATCATCTAAATAGTCTGGAGTCTAAAATACAATAAAAATATAAATCTATCAATAGATTTTAAATATCCGATTTTTTAAATATACCTGAGGAAAATACGGGTTATTGAATTGCTCGTTGCCTAATGTAGGCTCAAAGTTACTTCCATTTTCTCTTAGAGGAGAAGTAATGGCCGGTTTTGGAGTAGGGATATAATCGTTTTTGTCTCTAGACTTTTCCTCCTTTTCAACCATCTCAATAATCTCGCGTTCCTTTTTTGTAATTTCATCTTCCTCCGATGTAATACTATTTGTGTGCTAAAAACCTTTTAATATTAGCGTCTTTTAAATAAAATGCTTTAATTCTTACTTCACTATCTTGTCTTTCGTGACTTGGAGTACTACTACACCAAGTGTCACTGGATAATCTTCCTCTGTCGATATCCAATCCAGAATCTTGACTCTCGACTTTACTTAATAACCCACTTCTTGTTTCATCCTGCATCTTCCTGTACATCGATTTTTCCAGTTTCTGCTCCTTTTGCAAAAAGGCGCTTATGTCGGGCGGTTTCTGTACGATTTGGTCTAGATCAAGCTCAACAGTTGAATCTTCTATGCCCAGAAAACTGGACCGCTTGCTGTGGATCTCCTTTTTGATTCTTTTAGTGGAGTTCAGCCTCCTTACTGGTCTTGTTGGTATTCCATCATCATCTTCCTGTGGTGGTGGTGGTGGAGGTTTTTCCTTTGGTGGTTCTAGTTTGGACGGAGATAATGCAAAATCGGCAGTTATAAAGTCTAGCGCTAACGTGTTAGGTGGTGTTTTCAGTTCAATATTTTCATAAATAGCTGGTCTTGAAGGCCGTTTTGCAGGCTCAGGAGGAACTGGCTCCGTGGAGACTTGAGATTCTACCGCTACTTGTTGAATTTCTTTAGGGACATGCCTCTCATGGACTTCATTTTCTTCTGCGGATTCACTGACTAATTGTGCAGAAATATTTTCCGTTGCATCTCTTATTAAATCATCCAAAAACTTTTTAGTTGTATCAATAATTTCTTCTCGAGAATATCCAGCCTTTTCCGCAACATCAACCCCTTGAAGTTCAGTACAAGTTTCTTCACTGATAATTTGATTCCTTAGTTCTTCAGTTTTCTTTAATTTCTCTATACAGTTTGGTATCGTGTCACTATCCGTATCAATAGGTTCATCAGCTTGACTGACTGAACATGATACGTCAGCAGTATGAATACCACTGTCTTCTCTATCAGAAAGAACACCAGCAAGTTCAACGGATGACGTTGAGGGAGGGTAGTTAGAATTTGAGCTACAGTAATCATCAAGGTTATCCTCGATAGATTTTCCACCCATCAGATTGTCTAAATCGCGATTAAACATATTGAGTTTGTTCATGTACATCTCTGTTTCGGGACTAGAACATCTTTCGGTTTTCCAAGATGGAACAGGTTTTCTAATTTCGATAACGGGTACGCTACTCGATTTATCCAGAAGATAGTTGCTAATTTTACTTGGCTTTGGTTTCTCTATGCTACTCATATCTATTTCGTTAGGCCTGTTGAAGCTAGCCAGTCGCTGTTTCACCGACACTTGGATCTCGTCCTTGTCGACTCTTGTTGCAGACTGATCGGAATTATTTACAAGGCTCTTTAAACGGTCCTTGATACTTCTGGCATTAGCAAAATCTTCAGATAGTCTTCTGGAGGAAGCTGTTTCTATTTCGGAGAACTCTACAGACTTAGAAGTCTCGAACAAGCCCTTTCTTTTTGAAATTTCTCCTTTGGGAAGCGCACTTTGTGCTTCAGAGTATTCCTTGGACCTACTTAGTTCTCTGTGCCTGTCGAAGACCGCGTCGCTCACCTTAATTCTGCTCTGAATTCTGTTTCGATACTCTTGAATAGCACCGTCGTAAGTGTAATGTTCATACGATTCCTTGTTCGAATTATCTTCATTGTTCTTGTTATCGGGTATAGTCAAGATTCTCTTCGGAGGTATTGCTGGCTTTTGTTTGATTAGATTTGTATTTTTGGGTGATGGAATATTGTTGTTAAGATACGACGAAAATGTATTATTGTCTTTAATAGTTTCGTTTTCGCTATGACTTAGATTGGAAGGCATGGATATATCTTTAGAAGATGGAGAGTCGAGATTACGATGTTCCTTCTCGTCCAAAATACTGTTGCTGTCATCAGTATCAGCATCCTTTATACTATTTGTTTTGGAGCTACTACTTCCGATACCATAATCGCTTAGATCGTTTGAATCTTCATCGTTATAAATAGGTATAGTGAATTTGGGTCTACCTTTCTGATTCCTAAAACAAATAATACGTGTATTTTGTGTCATTTTGTTTTATATTGAATTTGAATCATGGATACGGTTAGTAGATAATGAAACCTTGATAAAATAATAAAAAAATGTTACATATATATGTAATAAGTTTATAAACAAATTACAGTAGTCTTTATAAATATGGTCGTTGAACGAATGATTTGTTTTACATCTGAGTGTATAAAAAACAAAACGGAGCGATAATTGTTCGAACACAAATACCTTGTTCACTTCGCAATTCGCTAAAAGCTTTGTTTGTTGAATTATTATGTATTTTCGCTAACGGTTGATTGTATTACGGTCTTATTGGATCGGTTACTGTTATGATAATAGACGTTCGGTTTCGGATATTTTTCCTTTTATAGAATCGCAAGAAATATAGCTTCGATTTGATTTTTGTCGCATTTATTTATGATTACCTATAAACAATCTCAGATAAATTCTTTATACAGGTTCGATTAAAAAACATGTGCCATTTCTCGTGAGGAAATTTCTCACGTAAAAATAAGATTTATTTTTCATATCAACATTAGGTCATCCGATCTTGGCCCGATTCTGCTTTGTTTCATAGCTACAGAGGGTTATTCTTCATTTTTAAAAAATTTTGGTTTATTATAATTTTTTCAAGTGCTTTTTGAAACTCTAATGAAATTTTGAGGGTAAAACAAGAGAAAAAAGTCAGTGGCGTACATGCTTTTTTTAGAAAAATATTCCAGTGATAACCCATATGCACGTCCCTGGTGAATATGTCGACAATTTTTTAGCATCAAAGCCATGTCAATTTATAATATTTCAGTCAAATCGCTAAAAGCACTTGGAAGGAAATTATAATATTTCGAAAAAAATGTAGACTGTAGCTACGAAATATACACACAACCAAACTTATATGGAATCACTCTTTATTTCTGACTAAATTTCTTGCAAGGATGAAAATTGGTATACGACTTTAAGATAAGGCTTTTTGTTGTAAATAAACATGATAATAAAGAATAAACGACTGCTGCGATTTATTTTCTTTCGAATTTTGTGTTCAGTAGTAAAACCACGATTGTCCGGTAATTTTCATTAAATCCATAAAATAAAAAAATACCTTATGTTGGATTAACAGATGTACAGAGAGGAAGAATTAATGTTCTCACCGAACAAGGAACGCTCCAGAGAGACGTAGCAGAGATAGTAGGCGTTACCTAGGGTGTTGTATCGAAAACATATGCAAGGTACTTGGAATTAGGAACACACAAGGATAGGTCCAGACAAAGTCGTCAAAGAGTCACAACTGAACAACAAGACCGTCTTGCGGGCTAAATTGCTAGAATAAATCCCAATGTTTCTCATCCAGAGCTACAAAGACAATTTCTGGCAGCTACAAGTGTGAACGTTTTAGTTGAAATCATAACAAAAAGGCTTCGTGCTCGAAGATTTTACAGTAGGAGAGAGTTACGGATCCACAGTTATCTCGGCAAAATAAAATTGACCGACTAAATTGATGCTTTCAACATCAAAACTGGACAACTGAGAATTGGCAAAATGTTCTTTTTTCGGATAATACCAGAATTGGCCTAAGATCAGATAACCATCGAATTCGGATTCTCAGAGCTCCAGAAAGACGAGCGCGACTTCAGGCTGCCAAATCTGTACCAAGATGCAAAGGAGGAACTATAATGTTCTGGGGGTATTATACTGGGAGCAAAAACTCCATTGTTACCACTTCAACAGTCTTTAACGGGTCAGAGGTATGTGGACTTGGTGCTAGACCCAATCTTTAGTCTTTGGAGAGCTGCAATTGGTTATAATTTTAACTTCTTGTACGATAGTGCACCTCCCCATACAAGCAGAGTGACTAGAGAATGTCTTAAAACGGAAGGTGTCATAGTTTTGGACTGGCCTGCATGTTCACCAGATCTAAACCCTATCGAACACTTGTGGGACTAGCTCAAAAGAAGGGTTAGAGCCCGTCGAAACAATCCAGGAAATCTCGCACAGCTTATTGATGCAGCATTAGCAGAATGGGAAAACATACCCCAAGACAACGCTGATAATTTAATAAGAAGCATGCCAGCGCGAATAGAAGCTTGCATAAGGGCTAGAGGTGGCAACAAGGAATATTAAAGCTATCCATTTTCTTTTTGTTTTTCCTTTTTGGCCATTAAAAGTTTAAATCTTAATTTCGTTTCAGAAACCAAAAAATACCATTTTGTTTATTTTGGGAACTGATTAATTTTTTTTTATTGCTATATGAATTATTTTTCATTAAAAGTCATTGGTAAGGACTGAATTTTATTCACAAACACAAAATTTTCATACGGCTCAAAAACTATGAAAGATAATAGATGATTCCATATAAGTTTGGTTGTGTGTAAAGCAGAATCGGACCTATATTGATGTAAAAAATTAACCTTACTTTTACGCAAGGAATCTCCCCACGAGAGATGGCACTTGTTTTCTGAAACACCTTTTAGAATGAGACTTTTTTCTGACAGTTTTACTTGATTTTTCTTTTTTTAAAATTTCAACAATAATTTAAAATCTTCTAAAATTGTTATAATAAAGAACTACCTAATTATTGAACCTATAAGAAAATACAAAAAACAATTAAGAAAAAAAATATGATAAAAAAGACGAAGACATGTAAGCATAAATATTAGTGTAAATTATAAAAAGGCCTTCATTAAATATAAAGTGAAGAAAATTAAATATGAAAATTTCTCGACTTCTGCATTTAACATTCCTGGGCAAAATCGAAGTGAAAAAAAATTAAACACGCTAGAGTGCGACCATTAAAACTGGAAAATATAGTTGCCCCTGTGACGTTTAATTAAATTAAAATAACCTATCGCATGTAGAGCTACAGTTGCGGCATAAATAAAATCCTCAGGATCCTCGGCGGAGACGACTCCCTATATACAGAGCGTCGTTTATTTGTAAACAACTTCAAAAAGGTGATTCCTGAACCAAGTTAGACTTCCCAAACAATGTTATTCTATCACTCGGTCACTGACTGCTTAAATTAGCTCCTACTCTCTGAATTTTTAAGTCTCACAGGCATAATATTAAAAATCTTTTCGATTCAAAATAAGAGAATACATCTGTTAGTAGACCACGCTGTACAAATAAAAGATTATTTAATTTTTTAATTCTACCAGGGCCGAACGTCTAAAAATACTCGGATATATTAAGATGCAATAAGATATCTAAATTTTGAACTATTAGTCTATAAATAGAACTGCATTCTTAAGCTTCTAGAAGGTATGCGAGGTAAGATCTAGTTTTAATTAGAATTGGAGCAGTGATTTCAGGACAGAGGCGCGCGACATATTTTCTTAACAGGAACGCTACGAGATATACAGGGTGTTTCAAAAAATATGAGCCATCTTTGGTGAGCAGATTCCTCACGTAAAAATAAGATTTATTTTTCATATTAACATAGATCCGATTCTGCTTTGTTTCGTAGCTACAAAAGGGATAAATAAGTCTTCATATTTTTCGAATTATTATAAATTTCTTTCAGGTGGATTAATAACGTTTTGAGGGTAAAAGTTACTGTAAGTACGACATATTTTAATATTAAAAAAAAATGGGTTGTGATCGGAATATTTTTCTAAAAAAAAACATGTGCACTACTGACTTTTTTCTTTCTTGTTAGCAAAATTCTATAAACCGTTTAACGCCGATTAAAAGTTGTCTCTTATTTTGTAGATGTCGGTCTCCTTGATGATATATAAACACAATTTTATTAATTTGCTTTAATCCAAGTCTATAGCAGTCTTTAAATTTTTTTAATGCCATTAACATCGCCAAAGTGATAAATATGCAAAGAAATGAAAAAAAAATGTGAAAAAAAAATTCATTGATTCGTTCAAAAAACATGGTTGCGGAAATGAATAGTTCTAAAGTTACAAGATGTTAAAACTTTAAAAAATAGTTTTTTTGTAATTATCTTAAATACCATTATATAATTTTTTAATTTGCTGTAGGTAGCAATGAACATCAGTGTTAAATAAATTTTAATAATGTTAATTATATAATTAATTGTGATTAATAAAATTGCGTTTATCTCATGAAGGAGATCGAAATCAACAAAATATCAAGATACAAAATTTTTAATCGGCATTAAATAGCTTACATAATTTTGCTAACTAGAGGAAAAAGTCAATGGCGTACATGTCTTTTTTAGAAAAGTATGGCAGTAATAAGCACGTCCCTGGTGAATCTGTCGAAACTTTTGTAGCACTAACATAGTAACTTTTGCTCTTAAAATTTCATTCGAATCACTGAAACCTTGATAAAAATTATAATAAAACGAAAAAAAAAAAATAAATAAAGACCCTCTGTGGCAACGAAACAAAACAGAATCGGACCTATGTTGATATAAAAATTAGAGCTTATTTTTGCGCGAGGAATCTCCCCACGAGAGATGGCACATGCTTTTTGAAACACCCTGTATGACAGGCTATCTTACCTTTCTTCTAGCATTTCACTAAACGTCTTGCTCTTTCTTCGCGACTTATCTAGTTCTTCTTGCTCAGTCAATTTCTTCACTTCGACCACTCGCTCTATGATATGTTCTTGTCTTTTTCTTCGGCTACTCTTCCAGTTGTCGAGGTTCTAGAACGACGAAGATTGCACGTGCTAGGCTCGATACAAAAAAAAATCAATAAAAAATACCTGTTGCCAGTCTTCAGTTTCATCTCGAATCTCCTTCCTTTCTTTTTTGATTTCTTCAACTTTCTTGATTTGTTCGTGGGCTTTTTGGAATAGTGGACATGGATTCACTTTGATGAATTGTAGTGGATTTGTAGCGGGTTTTGGTGGAGGAGGCCTCGTTACTCTGCATTTTGTTGGGACGTATTCAGTATTCAGATTCTGGAAAGAATTATATTGCATTATATCCACAAGGTTGTTCACGCTATTCGACAACTGAATATGTGACGATTAGTTTTTTGGAAATTGTGAGAAATTCCAAAAATTAACAATTTAAAATTATTTGCGAAAGGTACAGAGCAGGGCCGGCGGAAGGAAAATATTGAGACCGAGCGAGTGCCTGGCCCCCCCTCCCCTCCTTAACAGTTATTATAATTCTCTTTTTCCTTCAGTCCTATACTTTAACTACAAATTAATTCTCTTCGTTCAATCTTAGTCTGCGATTGTTGTTTTTTCTACACCGGTCTCGAAAGTGACTCACTCCGATAAATTTTTTATTTTTTTAGATAAAAAAACGAGTTTTGGTATGCTAGTATATGACATAGGTCGCGTTCATCAGGACGTAACGCTACCGCAGCGATCACTAATTTTCTGCTGAACGCGCCGATTAGTTGTGAGCGCTCTGGGATCAGTCGCCATTTTTTCCATCAGATTTAAAATACGCTACGCTACCGATGTATGATGGATTAAACGTCACATACGCCAAATGTCACAAAATGTTTTGGAAAACGAAAACAAACAAAGAATTTGTTTATTGTTCTCGGTTGACTAATCCCTGATTTTGTGCCAAAAATGGGTGAAAACAATTTAATATGCATTACTTATGATTTTGATCTAAAAAGAACGTTCAGCAGGACAACCAATCGATGGTACATCGCTCACTGATCAACTTGTCCTGATGAACGCGACCATATATTAGGTTTGATTGACGTATTCAATGGTTTTTAGTCACTTCCTGTTTGACCGGAAATGACTAAAACTTTTGATTTTTAAATGCACCCTCGGTATATTTCTACTTTATTTCAAAAGAAAATGACATTCTGAGTAGAATGGCATATCATATGTCAACTTTTGACATTTTCGCTTAAAAAATCGTATTTTAAATTTTAATCTATAGTGCCAGGGCTGTGTTAAAAATAAAAAAATTATAGGGGGAGAAACTTCTGAGACGCACTCGGTATATAGAGCATAAGAAATAGAATTCCAAGTTCGGCAGTCTCGTTCTGGTATAAGTGATCTTTGAAAACATAACAGTATTGCAAGCAGTAGCATTATTTTTTATTATATTTTATTATTAAGAATTTAAGAAAATTTTCCTTTCTTTTTCACAAACAATTACATATTTAGTGCAGAATCAGTATTATGATCAGACAGTTTTGTCGGCTGCAAAATGAGGATCCGCCAATGTTTGAGATGCATTTCTTTGTGAGAAATTTTTCTTTGTGTGATTCCTCTAATGAGAAAATTTTACGATTTTGCTACCATTTTCAGTGTATTACTACATATTCAATCCGGAACAATCAAAACCATCAAAAGATTGATATCTTTCCCACTACTAATTAATAAATTAATTTAATTAATGAGACAAATTTATAAGTTTTTTTTATAATAAGGATATCGGGATCCTCTTCAGCTTCTTGCGAATGAATATTTGCCGCATATTACTTTAGGGCATATCAGCCATTAATAACAAATAAAGGGTGTGGATAGTAGAAAAAGTGCAATTTTGAGCGGTCAGTCTAAAACTGTTAATTTTGCTGGCTCTTGACCCATAACAGTTTGTTTAGAAATTTATAAAAACGAGAATTATAGAAAGAAGGATTATTTACAAAAAGTTGTGAGCTTCTGAGTTATAAAAATGCCACGAACAAATCCGATTTATATTTTTTTATTTAATTTTGTTTAATATTCTTCCATGAAAATGAATTCGCAAATCCCAGTTTAGGATAGAGCACTCAAAAAACATATAGAATAGAAGAAATCAAAACTATCCCAAAGCTTTCGTGCTAAGGATTTTTTTAGCATAATTTCAGTAAACTATACTAGGATACATCTAGGATATAGTAAGTATAGGTTATAGGATATAGGATATAGTATATAAGTATTTATAATGTTTAGTCAGATATTCTTCCCTATGTGGTGTGGTAATAGCTAATAGCTAATGTGGAAATTGACAGTACCGATTAATTATTGAACTGGATATTCGTTACTATTTGTTTAGATTACTGTTTTTAAATATTTTAGTTGCTGTCGTGGCGCCCCTCGTTTCCGGGTCGCCCGGCCCTTCCGCCGGCCTTGGTACTTAGATAAATAAAAAGTATCAAAGTTGTATTTTTAAATGGAACACCCTGTATATTATTACATTTTTAGTTTCTATGATTAAAATAAAGGTATGTTTGATTAACGTTTAACGTACTTTAATCTTACCGTTTTTGAAATATTTACGATTTTGTGAAAATGCATTAACAATAATTTTAATAAGCACTTCATTTTTCATTTCTCTAGGCGTATTTAAGTTACTTTGGTACTTACTTTTTTAAAAAGTAATAAATAAGTTTCCAAATTTATAGGTGCTAAAAACGATAATGTTGCTAGCCCATTTGTTTGCAAAAAGAAAACTACATATTTAAATCTTTGTAAAAGAGTATGCCAACTAAATATACGACCAGTATTTCCCTCCAACTGTACCTTTTGAAAATAATTTTTAACTGTAGCTTTAGTAGTCCTAAAGCGATTCTATCACTCACAAATTCTAAATATCTAAGCATTTGGCTACAAAACTTTGTGTCGAATAGCGTGAACAACACTGCTGAAAATGGAGAACTCTTTAGATCCAAATCATTTTAAGTTTGAAGTTTCAGTATCCAATAAAAGAAGCTCTTGATAAAGATCTATTAGTGATTAATTAATAGTTAATACCTAACCAAAATGGAAAACAAGTACAAATTAATAACACTCTGTAGAAAATAGTGTGAGGTTGAATGTCATTTGGAAATGATTTGTTCCTGATCGGTCTGCTGTGTTGTTGTGTGCATAGTGAAGGTCAATAGCATGCATGTTCTGGTTCGAACCAAAATAGACTTACTTTAAATGAAATTGAAAACAGATAAATTTGTTTATCAATAAAAGGAGGAATTCAGGAATGAAATGAATTTCAATTCGATTAAAGAAATAGCAAAAGTGTGCAGAATTTCGACTATTTTCCATGTCATAAATATTTTTCAGTTTGATCAAATCCTGTAATTTACGAATTAGGAGGCGTAGATTACGAAAATATTATAGACCGTGGTAGCCTTACGAGTAATCTAGCAGATACGGACGATTTTTAACTACTATTAAAAATTGTTAAAACATAAGGGTTTGAAAAATCGATTCTATAAAAAATTCAAAGCATTTTCCTACAAATTCTGGAATTTTCAAAATTTTACGTCCCCACTTTTCTATTGAGACCTATTTTTTAATGAATGATAATTTTACATTTAAATCCAACAAAGGGAATATTTTTATACAGAGTGTCCCAGAAATAAGTGCAAGTATTTTAAGGGGTGGTAGATCTCGATAAAAGAAACATAGGTACCTGTTTTCTCTTTATCGTTTTTCAAATAAGTCCAAAATAACGGAGTTATTTTACTTTGAAAATTTCCAAAAATCTTTTCTGGATTTTCTTTCTTATAAATTAAATCTATTACCTATGTTGCCATATTATCAAGAAACTATGTTTTTTTAACTAAAAACTAAAAAAATTTCCAAAATTTTTTTCAAAAAATTACGAATTTTCAACATTTTTTTTCACGAAAAAAACCTCATTGGCGTGTTTCTGGGGCTGGGTTAGGTTAGGTATATACTACCAATTAAAATACTTGCACTTATTTCTGGCACACCCTGTATAGTAGCTACAAAAGAAATAAAGAAAATAAGTACACAAGGTTATGTTTAAAAAACCACATGAAATATTTTCATGAGATGCAAAGCAGTTATGTTGTAGTATATGTTAATAAGAAAAGACATTTTTTTGACTTGATTGATTGAAGCCAAGTAATTAACCTTTAGTGATTGTTGCAACGATTAAGCTAGTAATGACTTATATTTGTCATATAAGTTATAATGGAATTAAGACAGGTTCGTGAAAAAAAGATCGATTATGAAGTAACAAACCCAGAAATTAGAAACATTACTAGAAAATGACAATAAAAAAGTATTTTTATATGAAAAAATATGAAACACCATTAAGAGAATAGAATCAACCATCAGGAGGCAACGTTGTACATCCGAAGATTGAAAGAAGATCTAAATCTTAATAGACGATGTGAATCTGCAGTCATTTTCCCTAATTATAATCGTAATTTTTTTTATTAAAAGATAGCCGGATGTTACTGTAATTACTTTTACATTGTCTCTTGCTTGAAAATCATGCAATCTGTTTTTTACCAGTTTCTGTTAATCGCATATTCTTCACTCCCACGTTTTAGAAGAAAATAAACTCTTTCTCCGAGGAGCTTGAACGTTTTTTGACATTTTTTTTTCAATGTACTTCCTTTCAAACAGTTTTTATATGTTTGTTTAGCTCTGCTCGAACGTATTTACGAGTAAAGGTATTAAATTCAGAAATTCTGATCTTTATTACTGGGCACTACGTGCTAATCGTGAATTTCTCCAGTAAGAGTTCTCTAAACTAGACTAAACAACGTAAAAGGCATTAATAACCTTATAGTCCCTTTGAATACCCGCCATTGTTCTGCCATTACGACCGCTACCTACTTATATTTTCATTTCAACGACAATTAAAAATGACCAACACTATAAACCGCAGTTACTCATAAACTGGTTGCATTACAATTGAGTATTAATAAAAAAAAAGTATTAAATAAAAAAATACAATTAAAGGTAAGTCTGCTGATTCTAATTTAAATGGTACAATAACAGAATTCCTTTGCTCTCCATGTTTGTTTTTTTTTCACATTGTCGACTCCACACCGCTGTTATGTCACAATAAATAAATGTTGTTAGATCTCAAGGTTTCGCAATAAAAATTCAAGCCATATACAATACTACCAACCCAATCTAATCTGCATTTACAGGGTAGGCACTACTCTATTGGAAAAATCTATATAAATAATATACCACGATCGAACAAAAAAAAACGGCGTTACAGACGGCTGGGGATGACAATCGACGGTAATTTTGACGAGGTCAAGCCCTACACGTCATTACCTGGCCCGCATCCCTTCTTTATTTAATAAATATTAAATTATTTTACATTAGAGAGAATGTACAGGGTGAGTCTTAAATAAGTGCAAATATTTTCAGGGCTGGTAGATCTCGATAAAAGAAACATATTTTCTCTTTACCGTTTTTTCAATTAAGTCCAAAATAATAGAGTTATTTTACTTTGAAACTTTCCAAAAAAAATGTTTGCTTAAATTTTGAGAACCACCGGATCTTTTCTGGGTTTTCTTTCTTGAAAATTTGTGCTACTACCTATATTGCCATGTTATCAAGAAATTATAGTTTTTAACTCAAAAATTTAAAAAGACGTTGCAAAAAAATATCATAATTGTGTTTCTAGGGTCGAAATATATACTACCTCTAAAAATATTTGCACTTATTTAAGACTCGCCCTGTATTTGTGTGTCTGGAAATGATGTATCCTTTTATAATCTTTCTATAGTTAGTGTTAATTTCTGAAGTTCTCTGCCAATTTTCAGTAAATCACGTGTAGAGAATGACCTGGCCAAAATTATCATCGATTGTCATTGCTCAGCCGTCTTTAAAGCCGCTTTTTTTCGATTATGCGGTATAATCTATATAATATAAATAAAATAGTTAAATTATTAAAATTTGCCCACCCTGTACAGTATAAGTACGAAAAATATGCTTGTAACAGAAGTACCTATTGCTCATCTAGGTTAATTTCTTCTTTAATTAGTTTTAATGAGTAAAAACCTTGTTTCATTTATTAAAAATATGTGTAATGTTTCGTCAAGTCAACCAAAAACTACAAATAATTATAGAATTAACCCAAATTTTCACATATTCATACATAATAAGCAAAAAATATGCCTATTGTGGCAGAATAAAACCATGTAGTCTAACAGCGCTTTCACAGCGTTTTCAGATGGAGCGGAGCGTCCGCGACTGACCATCCGTGACTTCGTGCAAGTACCATGAGTTTATATGAACGATTACACATGGGTCGCGTATGCTCCGTCCGGATGAGCTATATTGAAAAAACATCCGCGCGTACGGTCCGCTCCATCTGAAAGTGCTGTTAAAAAAAACACGACGGACGGTCCGCTTCATCTGAAAGCGCTGTAAGTGGCTGTAACAGCGATTTCAGATGGAGCGAACCGTAACCATGTTTTTTCAATACAGCTCATCCGGACGGAGCATACGCAACCCATGTGAAATCGTTCATATAAACTCATGGTACTTGCTCGAAGTCGCGGACGCGGACGCTCCGCTCCATCTGAAAACGCTGTAAAATTCCAATATTTTAATTCATTATTTGAATTATTTATTCAAGTTTTTTATTGGTCTTATCGTATAGAAGTTTGAAATGATTTAGTTCATTCTTGATACTAATCTTAAACTTCATTTGTTGGATTGTAACCATCGCAGTGACCTTTAAAAATATTATAGATCTATTGATAGACATTGATCATAGTTTTAGCTTATGTAATCGTTTTCAAACAATTGTGTTACATAAAGCCACGATTTATACTAGAAAATCTAGTGTTTTTCATCGCATTTAATTGTGAAATTTTTAGAAAGCGTTAAACTGTGAAAAAACTGAAAAAAATTTTTATTAATAAATTCTTATAGAAATCTGTAACGTCAGGTTTCAATTTTTTTTCTATATAAGCTCATACTATATAGAAATCTCTGGGTCAAAACTGAGTTTAAAACCAAACTTCACAAAAAGTTTTTTTATAGAACAGAAATTTCTTTGAGTACTTATAAATAAAAAAATGCGTTAAGCTTCAGAGCTTTTAAGACTTGAAACTGAAAGCTTGCTACTAGAGAACCGTGTGACTATTCATGAATATCTAATTTCTAAATCTGTAAAGCTTCGCTGATAAAATATGACACGATTTTTGCGAAAGATTCTCAAGGGAAATCCATGATAATTAAAGATTTAAGAAGATAAGCAACAAGAATAGAAACTAAGTTGAAGAATACAACGCTATTTAATATAAAATATTAGCTTTTTAACTGCAGTTCAAGTTCAAATTTGGATACATGCCTGTTCTTGACTCTATGTATAATGACTTGTGTCTGATCTTATAAAAATAGGTGATGCAAATCACTTAAAAATACCATTTAAAAATAGAAACAAGACAGCTTCATTCTGAGTCATTATATACAAGAGCGAATGTTAATTTTTACATTCCTAATATTCAATACCAGGTGGACAAATATAAGCATCCTTAACCTTTTGTCCTAGTAGGATTTTAAACAGTTTCATAATAAGTACATTTCAAGTAGCTGCTTAGTAATACTTTACTTTTAAATTTTTCATCGAATTTAGAGTTTAATAAACAAATGGTATATGGTTAGTCTATCTTCTATACATAGTCTGTGATTTATACCATGTGATCAAAAGGGAGATAATTTTTCTTTAAAGCTTCATTCGGAACCTCGAAATTAGTGGAATAAATTAGTGTTTTATATTATACTTTATACTTCAATGTCTAAAAATACAATTAAAATTAATAGAATATCCTAGCAACAGCTTGCGGTAGTCAGTTGATTCCAGAAAGCCTAGAAGTTAGCTTATACAACAATAATTAAAGGCCAAGATTACATTAGCCGCAAATTTTGAAGTATAAATAAAATTAGTGGCAAAAGTTAAAAGTTTGTTAACTTTTTCTACTGACTGAAAATTACTACTGCACTAATTTTGAACAAATTTCTACGCTAATTTATACCACTAATTTCGAGGTTCTGAATGAAACTGAATAATTAATAACCTAATTTTAACCAAAAAATATTTTGAAAATATTAGTAGGAATGTAAATTAGAATTTAATCAAAGCAATGCTATTTAGTGAAAGACATCTGATTTATATTCAAAGCAAAGAAAGGTAAGAAACACATATTATTGCAAACTGCCATAAAACACTATTTTGCAATGCGAGTAAAATATGTACGTTTGACTAAATATTTTACTATTCCTGTTACTATCTAAAAAGATGAAAGTATAACAGAACTAGAATACAAAGCGTATATACAAGTCGTTGAATTCATGTCTCTGGTTACGAAAACCTCCCTGATATACCTATGTTTCAATATTGCTTTCTTATTTACACTGTTGCCATTATTTACAGTACGTTTGTTTAAAAACAATAATTAACTACAATGAAATTAAAAAAAAAACAGTCATCATAGTAGTTCTTGATTCTTTGAAAGGACACATTTCTATATGTTAATTGTATATATTTATCTCGTCTTACACGAAACAACAAATATTAAGAATAATTTAAATATAGAGTTGGTCATAAAATTTCCAAGACATATTTAAAATGTATAAATACAATATAAGCGAAAAAAACGGCGTCAGTGATGGCTATGAAATGAAAAAATTATAAAGAGAACGTCCTTGATGTTCATTTCTAAGCCAACTGAACGCCGTTTTTTTTCTCGATCATACAGTTCTTTACTGCTAATGTTTATAATGTGGGCGTTGAACAAGTAACATTTAACTTTTTTATTGTGAGTCATAATAATAAACAATAATAATTACGTAAACATAAAAGTACAATCAAGCAATATTAATCTTGCAAAAAAAACAGAAATCTAAATATGCAAAGAAGGAAATTAACAAATAACAGATGATACTTTTTGATAGTGTAGTTGTTTTAAATAAAAAAAAAATACTAAAGGGGAGTTTTGTAGATTTATAAAGTTGGTTTTATTTTTTAATTATTAAACAAGAATTAACACTTACCCTTTTTTCATGGCCGTCTCTCTCATAGTCGTGATTGTCCATATTTATTCCCTCAAAATGTCATGCTTATTATTTTAACTCCTGTAAAGAAATAAATATTGTATAATTACGGATAGTGAGAAATATTAATTAAATAGCAACGATGAGTTGTTTGTTAATAATAATCGCATTCAATATGATGAGAATCAGATCCCGATGAATATACCGTTGAATAAAGACAAATAACCTATTTACATATATAATCAATATGATTATTATCCGTTGTTAGAAAAATTGTGGGATATTCATTCAGGATCAATTTTCTCCTTTGAAAACTGCTCTTTATGGAAAAATGATTGCGCTGCTCCTTTACGAAACGAAATGCCAGCAGAACGATTATTTGTTGCAAAATAGCGATCGCCGCAATTATTTTTCAACTAATAAGATATAGTCATTTATAATAATAATTATATTAGAAAGTGCGCAATGCCTACATATACGTTATATATTCGAATAAATACACACACACACACACAAACAATCCGGATGGAATGCATTTATTGCTTCTGTTACATAACCAAACAACCATTTACTTTACAATATATCTGCTATAATGCTATATTATGATTATGTTGTACAGGGTGTAGAATAGGGGGGAAGTTAATCACCGCGAGCTTACAGATCTATTGTATCCCCCTATCTTGAGTTATAACTTATCATACAGTCCCAGGTCTTTGATAAAAGCCAGTATCGGATACGGTTTTACAGAGGGTAGTTCTTCATCTCCGATATCAGTTGTCCAAAGTTTATAGCACAAATGGTTGCCGCCTCGGCGTACTCAGTGACGTGGTGTTCTGATGTTTCCCCATTCTCTCCACAGAATCTGCATTCACCGTTTTTTCTTTGCGTCAATCTACTAAGGTGTTCATTGAGGACACAGTGTTCTGTTAAACCCCGTGACAAGATTATTCTTAGTGAAATCAAGGAAAATCTTTGATTTTTCTCGGTCGTATGTCCTGAGAAACTTCTCCGTGTAGACCGTTGCAGAATTCCCATTCCAGGTTACGGATAGAGTTTCCAATTTCTCATCTGTCCATGGTATTCTCAACATCCCGGTATGCCCACATCTCGAAGGCCTCCAGTTTCCGCTCGCAAAGCTCGTTGAGGGTCCAAGCTTCCATACCATACAAAAGGACTGGGAATACATAACATTTAAGCATACGAGTTCTCAGATCTAGGCTCAAGTCGCGGCTACAGAGCAGCATCTTGCTCAATACTACATTAGGGTTTTTCTCAAAGTTGGACATTCTTGGTATGTCATCTACTGTTAGTTGGAAGAGTGGTATTTACTTTTTAAGGGTGTTCCAAGTCTCTGAGCTGATAATTCTCCCAGTACTGATTCTGTCAGTGACCATTCTAATGATTGTCGTATTGGCATGTCTACCGATGACAACGCAGTGATGTTAGGTCTAGAAGAATATCTACTGATGTGTTGGACAGGTTCTCATGGCTCCTGTGATGCAGATGCATGCCAGTCTCTGGACTTTGCACAGATTTAGCCTTACCGTACTTTGCTCTAGATTTGTGTACCTCATTGTTTACTATCATGGTATACATCCAGCGCAAAATGTTGTACAGGGTGCAAAAAATCCGATACCAAACAGTGGATAACAGTACAGATAAAAATGACACGAAAAGTTCCTATAAACATATGCTCTAGTGCGCTTCCTGAGGATGTTGCAGCCTTTGAAATGGTACATAAAAAATATATTTTACTTATTTTTGGTAAATCATTTTCCTTCAAATATTCGCTATTCTTATACACATTTTACAGCCAAAGCGAATGGCGACAATAATAAAAAAACAGTTCTAATAGGATACTTTCAATTAGGGTAGAGGGTAGATTTTTTACAAAACTTTTTTATCTTCATGGATGCACTAATTTAATTTCACCATATGGCTTAAAGGCTAGGAATTTTTACGTAAGAAAAGTGTTCTTCGTTTAATTCGAAACCGTGATGTTCTTCAAGATATTCGCGTTTAAAGGTCACGATAAGTCGATTTTAGTATTAGCGAATTATAGGTAACTAGTAGAATGTTTTAACGGAGTATATGAAAACAATTAACAATGTAGTTACATACCAGATATATGCTCTAAAAATGCACAAAGGCTGTAAACTTGTTCAGGAAGCATCTCTTACATATATTTTATTTTCATCTGTAGTATCACCCACTGAAGTTTGGTACACTACTTTTTTTACACCCTGTATATTATGTCGATGACATATGTACACTGTATAATTTTAAATACCAAATGTCACTGATTGGTATTTCTTAGCTAACTTGGCCCTTTTTTATTTTATTAGGCCTTGTGTTGTATATACATATAGCATTATGTTTTTTATAAAAATAACTTGGGGTATACATAGAGTAAAACACTTGATAATAAAATAAAACAAAAAGTAATGGTGTAAAACTGTCAATTTATTTTAAATTATATATACAGGTTTGATTTTTAGGGGTAATATATTTCGACCCCAGAAACATGTTAATAAGTTTTTTTTTAAATTTGGAATTTTTTTATAGTTTTTAGTTAAAAATCATATTTTTTTATTAATATGGCAACATAGGTAGTGGATTAAATTTACAAGAAATAAAACCCACAAAAGACCCAGTGGTTCGCACAATTTAAGCAAAAAATATATATATATTTTTTAATTTTCAAAGTAAAATAACTAGGTTATTTTGGGCTTATTTGAAAAACCGAAGAGAAAATGCGTTTCTTTTATCGAAATCTAGGGACCAGCCCTGAAAATCTTTGCACTTATTTAAGATTCCCGCTGTAGATCTTGATATAGGAGAAATGCTTTCTCTAAAACAATAACAAATCTAGAATTTTTATTGTGATTATTCTACGCCAAAATAAATTAATAATTGTATAATCAAGTGTTTTTACAATTAATTGTTTTGACTAAAATTAATAATTTTTGAGGCTATGGTCAAAGTTTACCGACTATAATATAGCAAGTATGGAGCACAGACAGAAAAATCAACAGTTGTTCATATATATGTATATACAGTCACTTGAGTTAAACAAATAATGTATTCATATTGAAAAGCCTACACAATGTTGAGTTTATTAAAAACACGAAATAACTTCAGGTTTATTCTTAATTATGGCGCCATAGTATCATTCAACTTTAAAGCTGATATATTATGTATAGATATTACAAAATCGTCTACTGCAAATACTGTATGCAGTTGGCTAGTTGTAATAATTGTTTAAACAATCATCATAAACTTCTTCGGAATTTCAACAATTTTTTGACAGAGGCGCAGTCAGGCCATTGCACAAGAACTAACTACGCATACATACATTATAAATATTTTTTACATCCGTTTACAAAACTAAATAGTACCAATAGGGTCTTATCTTACTTACCTTGAGACTTTTTCTCACAGATGATTTTTATTTCTTGTGTGCGCAACTCTCATATAAATTATTTATTTCCTACAATAACAAATACAGTTTTGCAACATCACTTCTTTAATATTTCTAGTGCAACACTTATGCATAAAATTATAATCTACTCTGTTTATTTGATATATTGTAGAGAATTGTAGAATGTTTAGGAGGGGAGCTAATCACCGCGACCTTATAGATCTATTGTGTGCTCCCCTTTCTTGAGTTATAACGAGTTATAACTCATCATACAGTCTCAAGGCTTTAACAAAAGCCAGTATCTGAGACGGCTCCACAGAGGCCAGCTCGTCATCCTCGACATCAGCCGTACCAAAGTTCATGGCACGAATGGTCGTCGTCTCGGCACACTCAGTGATAAGGTGTTCTGGTGTTTCCTTTGTTTCTCAGCTTCAGCCTACTGAGGTGTTCGTTGAGGAGACAGTGTCCTGTTAGAAACCCCGTGACAATCCGAAGATTGTTTTTACTTAAATTAATTACCTTTGATTTTTCTCGGTCGTAAGTTCTGAGGAACTTTTTCGAGTGTCTTAGGCCGTTGGAGGACACCCATTCCAAATTATGGATGGAGTCTTCCAGATTCTTCAGTTCCGCTTTCAGTTGGTTCCCGTTTGGAAAACAGAACGGTTCTGGTCCAGTTAGTGGAGTGTTCGCTCCTTTCCTAGCTAGATCATTTGCTTTTTCATTCCCTTCTATCCCTTGGTGAGCAGGCACTCAGAGTAGGAGGACTTTATTTTCTTTGCCTAATTTGTTGAGCTTCTCTAGGCATTCTTTGACCAACTTCGAATTGATGGTTACTGAGTTGATCGCGTCAAGTGCTGCTTGACTATCGGATAGGATGGCAATTTCCTGTTTTCGATAGTTCCTATCTAAGATAAATTCTACGCATCTTTCGATAGCGTAAATTTCTGCCTGAAGGATACTGGAGTAGGTGCCCATTGGTTCGGAGTACTTAGTTTTCGGCCCAAATACTCCTATCCCTGTGCCAGCTTTGGTTTTGGAAGCATCAGTATACCACGTTATGGTATGGTCTTTTATATGCCGAGTAAGCGTTCTTTTTCTTCCAATCCTTTTTATTACTCAATACTACAGGATTATTTGATACATACAAGCACTTTATTTTGTTCTACTTTTACAATCATTAACTTTTCTTTCGACAACTTTTTAATATGTATTCCAAAATTTGAATCCATCATTTTTAGATGGGATTTCACATTCCCTTGTTCTTGGTCTTGCAGTCTAATAAGTAGTCTTGGTCTTGGTCCAATCTTGGTATTGATCTTGCTGCAAGACTTTTACAAGCATAGAAGAAGCAATATTTGTCTGATGAAAATTTTTATTTTTCGGTATGCATATATTAAATCAAAATACAGCCAGCGATAAAGTGGGTCTCAAAATAAATTTAGCAAAAACTAAAGTAATGTACAACGAACTAGTGGAAAGAAAAGACATTGTAATACTAACACTGGAAATAGTAGAAGATATTTGGGGCAACTAATACACAGCTCAGCATCTCTACTACCAGAAATCAAAACGAATTAAGTTAGCATGGAGTACTTATGGAAGAAACTCAATTATATTTAAATCTAGAATGCCATTTTAACTAAAGAAGAAAACATTCGAC